CAGTTCACCACTTGTCTCTACTTCCTCAACAAAGAGCCAGTGAGCTGGGGTGTGAAGACAGAGTCAGAGGTGAGTGTGTGCAGGGGAGAGAGGGGAGAGCTCTCCCCATGGCTGACTGGTGCCTGCTTCTTGCCAGTGGGTTCGGGGTGTCTGAGAGCCCCACAGAGTCCTGGGAGACACACCTTCCTGCCCGCGTGCTCTGGGGAGGACCGCTTGCTGATTTGGGGTGGGGGCTGCCTCTCTCTGTCACTCATTCATCAGATGATTCCTGAGCCCTTCTGGGTGGCAGTTCCTGGGAGGGGGGGGCAGTTCTGGGAGCAGAAGGAATCCAGGTGAGGTGAGAGAGAGCTGTGCAGAGGAAATAGGCTACCTGGAGATTCTTTGTTCCTTATTATTATGGCCATATTTTGAAAAGGTAATACATGCATGGAAGACAATATCTGAACTTTACAAAAGGCTATAGAGTCAGTCTTCTCTCCACCCCTAGGATGTTGTCATTATATAAAAGGTAAAATATACATGAGGAGGTATAAAAAATCCAGCGGCGCCCACCTTTGGCATTATCTGGAGCGCATCCTTCTGGAAAGTCTCTACAAATTCAAGCACACGATCCCGCATGCTCTTGCGTGTTTTGGCGCTGCTGGGAGAAACCCACACCTACTGTTCTGTGTCTGACCCTCATCACTTCCTTTATCCCGAAGGTCGCCCTTGTTGGTCCATAGAGAACAACCTTGGTTGAGGCCACAGATATTCCATGAAAGGGACTCTCCACGATGCCTTGGAGCTCGTGAGTGGGTTTATTGTGGGATAAACTCCTGAGTTTGGAATTGCCGGGTCAAGGGTGTGTGTGAGTGAGAGTGGAGTAGGGTTCGCCGCCCCCCCCCAACCTTGTCTTCAGAGGGGTGTGTACTCCGAGGAGCGTGTGCCGCTGTCAGCCCAGCCGTGACAGGCTTAGAGCTTGTCGTCCCAGAGCTCCATCACACGAAGGCCGCCTTTTAAACACAGCAGGAGGAAGAGGCTCAAGAGAGGCCCCAACCCCGATGGGCGAGGGGGCTCCTAGGTGGGCTGCATGCTGAGCCTGGAGAAGCTGGCTCCTCATCTCCCAGCCACCTACCCGCATTGCCCCGCTTCAGATAAGACATGGGAAGAGCGGTCAGACTCCTTAATTGAAGTCATGCCAGCAGATATGGTGGAGTGTTTTTCCTTTTAATAGCTTCTGTGAGACATAGTAATCACACTACACAATTCTCCCTTTTAAAGCGCACGAGCCCATGTTTTTCAGTACATTCACAGAGTTTTCCAATCAATTTTGGAACATTTTCATGAGCCCATAAAGAAATCTTGATCCACCCACCATTACCACCACCCCCCCAGCTGCCACGAGTCTATTTCCTCCCTGTCTGTAGATTTGTCTGTTCTGGGCCTTTTGTGTAAATGGAACCCTGCAATAGTGGTCTTCTGTGACTGACTTCTACTTAGCATCATGTTTTCAGGGTCCGTCCATGTAGCAGGTGTCAGTATTGTATTCTTTTTTTTTATTAACAAGTAAATATTCACTGTGTGGACAGACCACTTTGTATCGATCAATTGATGGACATTTATTTCCATGTTTTTGCTCAACGCTGTTGTGACATTTGTGTACAAGTTTTTGTGAGGATGTGTGTTTTCAGTTCTCTTGGCTATATATCTAGGAATAGAATTTCTGGATCATCTAAGTGCTTAAAGATTTGAGGAACTGCCAGGCTATTTCCCAAAGCAGCTGTACTATTTTAGACTCCCCCCAGCTATGTATGAGCGTCCACTTTCTCCACATCCTTGCCAACGCTTGTTATTTTCTGTATTTTTAATTTTAGCTAACCTAGTAAGGGTGAAGTGGTATGTCAGTTTGGTTTTGATTTGCATTTCCCTGATCACTAATGATGTCAAGCATCTTTTCATGTGCTTATTTTTTTGAGAAATGTCTATTTAGATTTTTGCCCATTTTACATTGGGTTGTCTTTTTAAATTGTTGAGTTATAAAAGTTACTTATTCTAGAAACACAGGTCTCATCAAATCTATGACTCACAAAAATTTTCTCCTGTTCAGAGGGTTGTCACTTCCATTTCTTGACTGATGTCCTTTGAAGAATTGGCAGGTGGATTCTTTACCACTGTGCCACCTGGGAAGCCCTCCTGATGGTTTTGCTTTCATATACAAGTCATTATGATTTTGATTTGCATGTCCCTAGCAACTAATGAGCAATGGCAGCCCACTCCAGTCCTCTTGCCTGGAAAATCCCGTGGATGGAGGAGCCTGGTGGGCTGCAGTCCATGGGGTCGCTGAGAGTCGGACACAGCTGAAGCGACTGAGCAGCCGCAGCAGCAACTAATGAAGCTGAGCATCTTTTTGTGTGCTGTTTGCCATTAATATATCTTCTTTGGTAAAATGTCTGTTTAAATCTTTTGCCCATTTTTAATTGGGTTGTTTGTCTTATTATTAAGTGGTAAGCATTCTTTATACAGTCTACTCACAAGCTCCTTGTTGAACATGCATTTGGTAAATATTTGTTCCCATACTTCTTGTTCTTAAGTGTCTTTTTTTTTTTTAAGTAGAGGATTTCCTCTTCAAAGGAAACTACAGGTGGAAGCAGTCTTGAAGAGTCCGTGGCGGTTGGCCCTGTGGTGCCAGGCGAGTGAGATGCAGCACCCAGGATCACAGGAGGCGGTCCCCTGACTCACTGGCTCTGACTCCAGGCAGGAGGCGGTCCCCTGACTCACTGGCTCTGACTCCAGGTCAGGGAAGGTGGCGTGCTCACCAACACCCCCCTCCCAGGGCTGTGCCTGCGAGCCAGGCCCTGGGGGCCGGGGTCCTCCCCGTGACCCGATGCACTCTACCAGGGTGCAGGCCCGTGACCCGATGCGCGTCTACCAGGGTGCGGGCCCGTGACCCGATGCGCGTCTACCAGGGTGCGGGGCCCTTCGTGTGGTATGTGGTCTCCTAGCTCCCTGGCCAGGGGTCAGACCTGGTCCTTCTGCAGGGGGGGTGAGGAGCCCTCTCACTACCGAACCCCAGGAAATTCCCATTAGGGTCTTAAAAAAAAATTTTTTTTTTTACAATGTCGTGTTCGTCTCCGCCACACAACTTGAATCAGCCACAGCTACACACATTCCCCTTTCCCCCTGAGCGTCCCCGCCTCCCCCATTCCACCCCTCCGGGTCATCGCAGAGCCCCAGACTGGGCCGCGCTGGGGTCCAGCACCTTCCCGCCAGCTCTCCACCCCGCACACGCCGGCGCATGTATGCTGATGCTACTTCCCCGTGGTCCAGCCTCTCCCTCCCCCAGAGTCCACAAGCGGCTCTACATCTCTGCCTCTCCTGCCCTGCAAATAGGCGCATCAACACCATTTTTCTAGAAATCATATACATGCATTAACATACTCTGTCCTTCCCTTTCTGACTTACTTCACTGGTATAATAGGCTCTAGGTTCACTCCCCTCACTAGAACTGACTCAGGTTTGTTCTTTTTAGGGTTCAGTAATATTCCATTGTATATAGGCAATTCAATATCAGGAAAACAAACAGTCTACTCAAAAAATGGGCAAAAGACCTTAACAGAGTCTTTTGAAGACCAAGTTCTTTCTTTCTTCCTTTTTTTTTTTTTTATCATGATGAAGTCCAATTTACTGATTTTTTTTTCTTTTAGAATTAATGCTTTTGGTGTCATACTTAAGAAATCTTTGCCAAACTTAAGGCCATTAAGACTTTCTCCTGTGGTTTTTTCCCTAGAAGTTTTGTATGTTTAAGTCTCACATTTAGGTTTATTCTCTATTCCCAGTTAATTTTTGTAGATGCTGTCAAGGGTGAGTTTTCGTTTTATTTGCATGTGGATATCCAGTTGTGTCAGCAGTATTTGTTGAAAGACTAGCCTTTCCCTTATTAGGCTGTCTTGGTGTCTTTGTTAAAAGCAATTGACCACATGTGTGGGCATCTATTTTCACACTCTTTTCTCTTCTATTGAGATTTTTGTCTAGCTTTACACCAGGACCACTTGGTTTGATTACTCTCGCTTTACAATAAATCTCTAACTCATGTAGTGTGCACCCTCCAACTTTGTTTTATTTTGGGCAGTTTGAATGGGGCAGCTTTTGTTAGATGAGACTTATTGAATACCAGAGTGAACCCAGCCATTGTGATGATCAAAAAAGCCCCCCACCAAATTTCCAAATGTGGTGATTGGGGGCAGTACCAGCCCCGTCCAAGAGAATCTCTTCCTCAAAGGGAGAGGAATCAGGTTAGCATCAGCAGCACTCAATGATCGAGGAAAATGGTAGAAACCCTTCCAAGTTCTGAGGAAATTGATTTTAACCTTAACCTAGAATTCTATACCCAGAAAAACTGTCAATTGACTTTGAGGGCAAAATATATCATTTCAGACACCCAAGGACTCTGAGACCTTCCCACAGGCTCTCTCTGGGAGAATCGCTAGAGGATATTCACAGCAAAATACAAAATGAATCCAAGAAAGAGAATTCAGAAAATCCAAGAAAGCGTGGACCCAATCCAGGAGGGAAATGCCAAGAAATCGCCAACGATAGCCACATAGCAGGCCAAGGAGGCAGCAGGCCAAATTATAACGGTGAGTCAGGGAGCTCTCAGGAGGGTTTTTAAGGAGAAAAATGACGATTCTACAACAAAGGGTGATATTTAAAAGATAGAAGGTCTCACTGAGAAGCTGAATGTGGATAATAATAGTAAAAGTTATTAGACGATTATAACATGCCTCCCCTTCTCCTCTCTCCTCCAACCTTTTGTAACCTCTATTTTCTTTAGAGTGCATAGTAATATTTTTTTTTCCTGCCCCTTAGCCGTGTATTCAGGTAATGATAACACTGGAAAAGGCTGTCACTGGTTTTTCAGGTTTAGAATCTCTCTACACAAAGCAAGGGGACGCTCACTAGGGTGACGCCAGGCCAGGAGATGGGGAGACGAGGCTGGTGCAGGAGGCGTCCCGGCCGAGCTCTCAGGACCGGCGCCAGGCCTGGGCGGCAGGAGGGCCGGCCGCCGCACCCATCTCAGCAGAGGCCTCCGCGAGCCCCGTCAGCGGCTCTGGAGCGGGGGCCACCCTGCCGAGCTGGCCGAGTGTGGACAAAGGCGCGGGGCTCTTGTGCCCCTGCGGGGACCAGTCACAGCCTGGCCTCAGGGAAGCAGGGGCGGAACCCTGGGCGCGGTCGAGTCCGTGGGCACAGGGCACTTTCCGAAGAGGGACAGTGCCGTGAGCTGTCAGGCGCCGGCGTGTCTGGCGGGTTGGGGGTGAGAGCCCCATCCTGAAGCGGGGTCCTGTCGGCCGCCGCAGCGCCCACTGCACAGGTCTCCTTTGTTGTTCCCTGCGGGGATCCAGACGAGAGGCCGTGTCTGAACGGGACGACCTGTGTGTGTGTGCACTGCTTCTTCTTGCAGGAGTGTGTTAAAGCGCCCTGGTTACCTCTCTTTCCACCATCTGCCACCTTGCCCATGAATGCTCTGACATCATCAGCTTGCGTGGGGAGACTGTGAAGGACATCTGGGTGGCTAAGAGTCCAGAGTCTAGTCCTTCGTTCAGAGGGAGGTCAGTTAACTCACTGCATCTGGGGGCCTCGGGGGCAGGCAGCACGGAGACAGAAATATGGGGTCAGCTTCAACCCAGAACTGCTGCAAGGTGGGGTGGGGTGGGGACAGGCATATGGGGGTTGGCTGGGGGGACAGGGGAAGCTGCTCCTCAGCCCCCATCAGTTCCCCCCACAACCCTCACTCAAGTGCCCCAGGATTTACACCTGAATTTCCTTCATTCCCAAACTGGCAGAGACTCCATGTGTGTGACCCAAGGGTCAGGTCTCCCAAATAATTCACGAGACGCCAAGGTCATATCCCTTTGGGGAAGGCTCCTGGTATCTTTATAAAGGGAGGAAATAGTAGGACTGGCTTGCAAAGATGTTGGTATATTTTCAAAATATAAACTGAAACGACAAACACATTTTACACACACACGCAGGATGTAATTTTGCCCTAGAGAAAATAATTACAGGATTTATAAAAACAGTATTAATTTCTAGAACATCACAAGTAGCCCAGGAAAAGCACTTGGTGAGTTTGAGGACCTCGAATCCGCTCCCCGTGCCATTCTCTCTTTCACAGGCCATGCCCAGGGGCCACCCAAGGAGGCCTTAGGGCCCTGGAGGGTCAGGGGTCTCTCTAGGCAGGGCCCATCATCTCCTGGAGGTAAAGGGGTATCAACAGACGTGGGTATGGGATACCAAGTCTTATCAAAGCCAGTGTGATGCCAGCCTTAACAAAGAGACACTATACCATCAAAATGTACCTTATTACAAGGTTTTTAGAAACTCAGGAGATGTAGCCAAAGCTTTACCCAGAGGCAAATTTATAACATTTGCCAGAAAACAAATCGGTGGAAAGAACTGAACTCTCCAAGAAGGCAGGAAAAGAATAAGGTTAGTCCTAAGGAAATCTAGAGTATGAAAAGGATAAAAGCTTGTTAAAAGTCAAGAAATAGAAAATACCATCGCTGGGCAACCTGAGGCTCAGAGACAGAAGGAACTGCTGGAAGGCTCCGGACCACAGGGGAGGTGGGTCTTGGGACCGCAGGCCCGTCACACCAGACCCGGGGTGTGAAGGAAGGTCCCTGCCCGGGCCTTGGGAGTTGGTCCACAGCCACATCGTGGAGGCCTCAGGGCGGTTTCCTAGAACCGTCTAGGGAAAAGGACGGCCCAAGAAACTTGTCCTGCTGGGGCAACAAAACGAACCCCGCGTTTTTATCACACTTGGGGAAAAAACGCAGAGTGCTTCTGAGTTCCTTATTTTGCTATTCACAGCCCAGTCGTCGGCTGATAATCTTTAGGAACGTCTGTTTTGCCGAATTTCTTGGTGAGATTAGCATCTCAGAGCGACCGAGGCAGCTGCGAGGAGGCGCCAGTCGCAGCCCGGCGGCGGCGGGCGCGGGCGCGGGGCGCGGGGCCGGCAGGCGGCGCCCTCCCTCCGCCGCCGCCGCCGCCTCCCGCTCGCTCCGCCCGCGCCGGCCGCCGGGCTCGGGCTCCCGCTCCGCCCGCGCCGCAGCCGGCACTTTGCAAACTCCTCGCCCGCCCGCGGCGGCCGCAGCTCCGCGCCCTGTCCGCCCCGGTGCGGCCGCGGGGCCGCGGGCGGCGCGGAGGCGCCCCGGGCGGGCGCGGGCGGAGGCGGGAGCCGGGCGCCGAGGCGGGGCCGCGCTGGGCCCCGCGCGCCGCGCCCCCCGGGCCGAGCCCCGCGCCGCGCCGCGCCGCGCAGAGCCGCCGTCCCCGCCGCGCAGCCACGGCCGCGCCGCCGCCGCCCTGCCGCCCGCGCGCCTGAGGCGGGGACCATGGCGAGCGCCGCCGAGCCCCCCGGCCAGGCGGCCGAGTACCTGCAGGAGCTGACCCGGATCGTCGCGGCGCAGCAGGAGCTGCTGGCGCGCCGGCGGCGGCGCATCGAGGAGCTGGAGCGCCAAGTGGCGCGGCTGAGCCGCGAGAACGCCGGCCTGCTGGAGCGGCACCGGCGCCACCTGGCCGCGTGCGCCCACCGCCCCGGCCCCGGCCCCGGCCCGCAGCCGCTCGGCGCCGTCCCGGAGCTCGGCGGCCACCGCGACAAGTAAGCGGGGACCGGGGGCGGCGGGCGTGTCGGGGGCGCGCGAACTTCTTGGGGGCCCCCCGGCACCTCTCAGGGCTCGGTGTGGAGGGTGCCCGGCCGGGGGGCACCTCGGGGTACCCCCGGCAGGGTCGTGGCCCGCCCTGGGACGCGGTCTCTGCGGGATTGAGCTCCCCGGGAAACGGGCTCTGGCGCGCTGTCCGGCGCTCCCGCGCGCCCGGCTCTCCGCGGACGGCCGGCTCGGGACTCGGGCTCCAGCGACCCGGGAGCTTGGATGCGGGATGGTCTCGCCACAGAGGGCTGTCCGGGCGCAGCCGGGGCTCTGGGTGGCGAGTCCGAAACCCCCGACCCGGAGACCCCAGACCCGGAGCGCGGGGGAGCAGCAGGCGCAGATCCCGCCCGCCCTCGAACGGGCCTGGGTCCCTCTCAGGTCGCTTCCCTCGGGGAGGGACTGTCTGCTGCCTCCAGCCCGGGACGAGCGGAGCCCTCCTCCCTCGGGACGCCTCCGTCTCTTCCTTCGCGGCTCCGGGTTAATACCCGCCTGCCTGGCCCTGGGATTACCCGGGGCTATTTCGGAGCGAGGATTAAGCCGGAGTCGGCATGGGGCACGACTGCCCGGCCGCGCTGGTCCCGGCGTCCCTGCCTCGCGTTTGCCTCCCGCGGGTCCGAAGTCGTGTGCTCGCCCCGCTCCGCCCAAGTCCCTGGGCGAGGCAGGGAGCGCGGGGCTCGGGGTTCCTGCGTTCTTTGCGCCCTAACCCCTCTGTCCCCGTGTCTTTGGGACCGCCTGGCCCACACATCACGGACTGGGGGCGGAGGAGAAACTGTGTGCGTGGGTTTTGGGGTAAGGGGTGAAATACGCAGCTTCAGGGAAGGTTTCCTGGGAGGTTAGGGGTGGGCAGAAATGCTGGGGGAGAAGTTACCCCCACTCCAAAATCCTTTGGGGGAGGGGCTCCTGATTCCCAGGTGTCCAGGTGTGGCTATCTGGTCCTGTGGTCACCCGAGACCCCGTGTCCCCGTGCCGGGCTGTGCAGGCTGCGGTCATGGGACAGAGAAGCCTCCCTCCTGGCCGGCTTCCTGCGCGGTCCTGGGCGGTGCTCCTGGCTCTAGTGGGCCCTGGAGGAGGAGGGGCGCCTGGGTGGGTCAGGGCGCGGGTGAGCCCGGAGGCTCTGGTGGCAAACTTCTTTGTGTTTGTGTGCTGGGAGGGCAGAGGCAGGAAGGAACAGCTCTCAGCGGCATCACTAGCGAGGGAAGAGACTCCCGCGCCGCCTCTGGATCTCTGCCCCTGGCTCTCCGGTATCTCCAAGACCCCCTCTGTCCCTCGGTCTCTCCGTGGTCACCTGGTGCTGGCTGCAGGGCCTGAGCCCTGGCCCCCCAGGCAGGGAGTCACGGAAGAGCCGGGCCCGAGGAAGTCCTCAGCGGCTCGGCAGGCAGGGCCCTGGGGCCACGCGGCCCGCTTGCCGGGTCAGTGTTGGCAGGCGCCTCGCGGCAGCATCCAAGCACTCCTTCTCCCTCCAGAGTCACTTCTGTGACCAGGTGTGGCCGGAGGATGCTTGGAGCCTGCTTGGGGACCCCCACCCCCCAGTGCTGGCACGGGCGGCGGGCTTGGAGGGCGCTGGGGTGTGCTGAGGCGGGGCTTGGCTCACGCGTCCCCAGCCTGGCTTCAGAGCCTGTGGTCGCATCTTTTTCAAGAGAGACGGTGGCAACAGCGAGTTCTGGGTGGAGGGGAGCGTCTCAGGCTGTAAGGTGCACACAGGGGCCTGGGGGTCGTGCTAAGAAGCAGATGCTGACCAGTGGGTCTGGGCGCCGGGGGCTGGAGGGCCTGAGGGTCTCACAAACTCCTGGGGGTGGGGGTGCTGCAGCTTTGGGGCCACACGTGAGGAGTAAGGAGCCAGCCTGGGAGGCTCAAGCGTGTTGACAGGACTGGGGGCCTGCTTCCCCCGTGTCTTTCCACAGCCTTTGGGCAGAGAGGGCGCCCGAGCCCCCCTCCCTCCACGGGGCCCGTGCCCCGGGCTGGTGGCACGTATGTGCCTTCGCCCTTCTGGCGGGGGGTTCCGGCCCCTGCAGTGTGGGGGGAGTGAGCTGTGGGCTGCTTTTCCAGCCCAGATTTGAGGGGCCCCTGCCCATCCGTGGAGAGAGGTGATTTATGCCTAAGGAGCAAGGGGGTAACCAACCCCCTGAGAGCAACTGGCTTTTATTCAGCGCCTACTATATGCGGAACCATTGGTGATGTGCTGGAGACCCAGAAGGGAGAGCGGAGAAGGCAGGCAGGGGGTGTGCAGCGCGGGCGGGCGGCCGGGCCCCAGGGGCTGTGGGACAGGTCTCCTCTCTTAGCTTCGGGGTGTTTAACGCACGGAAACAGGGCTGACACAGCTGCGGCCTGGGCTCTTTCTGAGGATTAAGAGAAGGTAAAGGGTGTGCGGGAAACGTACACAGTAGGTGCTTAATGCATGGCACTCTTTCCTTGTCAGGCAGGTTCTCATTGGGGGGCCAGGTGGCACAGGTCGCAGGATGAGACCTCTGGGGGATGTGGAGTGGGGGGCACAGCACCCTGGAGGAGACGGTCCAGAAGGCGGGGCGGGGTGGGGGTCAGCTCTCTGGGGTAGAGACCAGGAGGTCTGTGCCTGGCTGGCCCGAGCCGACGGGCACTGCGAGTCCAGACCGGTGAGACCGCTTCCTGCTGGGGGACCCGCTCCGCTTTCCGCAGCGCTAGTACCCCCACCGTCTCCCAGCCCCTGCCCCCCACCTGCAGACCGGGGCCCCTGAGGTTGAGGGTCCGGTGAGCAGGCAGGCTCGGCTGGGCCTGGCTAGAGTCAGCAACCCCTGGCCCCTTGGCCGCTGGACAGGGTGCCCCCACCTGCCTGGCAGGTGCAGCGTCCTGCTGGGGAATGTGCAGACAGAGGCCGCCGGACAGGCTCACACTGGACGCCAGTCGTCTCTGGACCGCCTCCCCCAGGCAGTCCTCAGGGGAGTTCCTGGGCATGGGGGAAACCTTTCCGCCCAAAGGCCTTTAACCCCTTTCTCAGGAAGTCCTCTTTCCTTCACGGCTGAAGGTTGCCATCATGAGTCTCTCAGCTTTGGGGAAAACAGGGTAACAACGGGAAAGGAATAGGATGCCTTTGGTTACATCGGGTGTTTCACTGCTTTTTTGTGTGACATCAGAATTCACATCAGTGTTCAGTCAGCTCCATCCTAATGTTTCTAGAACCGGCCTCTCCCAACCCTCCAGGAATTCGGGCTCATAATAGATGCTCAGTAGATCCTGCTGAACACGGGGGGCTTGATTAGTTTCTAGTTCGCCACTAGAAAGTCAGCATGGGCTTTAGCGGGTACAGCTGTGCCGATGAGCACGCAGACCCAGACACGTGGGAAGCAGGTGTGTGCGTTGCTGCTGCGTCCACGAGGGCGCCCTATGGGCCCGCCCTGCTCCGGGTGTTTGCGTTTACCAGCTCCTGTCGTGGGCCCGGCGCTCGCACGAGGCGGGGACGGTGGCCTCTCCCGTTTTACGGGTGTAGAGACTGATGCTCAGAGAGGGCCCGGGACCGGCTCTGGCCCTCCCGCCTGTCCAGTGCGGAGCCAGGAGGGGTGGACCCTGCTCTCGCCCCTCCGCCCACACCTGCCCTTCCTGCTCCCCGGTGATCAGACATCCTCCCGGCGGTCCTGCGTGACTCCCAGCCCGCAGCGCTGGAGGAGGCCCAGCATGCAGGGTGCTTGTCCCGCCTCCTGGGCCCTTGACACCAGGCCGGGTCCTCAGCATCGCCCGAGGCTGCCGTGTGGAGGGGTCCAGGGTGGCATGGGGATGCTGCCTCCCAGCCTCTGCTCCTGAGTTTCCGGCAGAAGTCAGCCTCAGCCTGACGAGGCTGGGAGGCCTGGTGGAGCCGCCTCTGTCAGCGCCTGCCCTCGAGGGCTGTCAGCTCACCAGAGAGGACGTTTCTCTGGAGCTGCGAGCTGGTGACTCACTCCGGGGGAGGTTTCCAGCGGCGTTCAGTCTCTGCTGACTTCCCAAACAGGCGCGCCTCTGGTCTGTGCGGACATTAACCATGACAAGGGTGCATCGGTTTCGTGGGAGAGGAAAGGGGTGATGCTTGAGGGTGACCAGTGATGAGGGGCGGGCTGGAGGCGGGGACTCGAGTACCTTACGGGGCAGGTCCTGGCTGGAAGCCTCCGAGAGCACATTTATCTTCAGAGCAGCCGGGGAACCCCAGGCCCGGGTCGCAGGGTTGGACGTCCCAGCCGCCTCTGATTCCACCTCCGGGGCCTCGCACAGGCCGGGAGAGGCTGAGCAGGCTTCTCTGATCTGCAAGGGCGGAGGGGGTGGCCAGGGGAGATACCAGGCTCCCGTTCTCGGTCAATGATGCTCTTGTTCGAGTAGCCGGTGCCGGGGAGGACGTCCCCCAGCCGGGAACGGGCTGCTCTGTGCCTGCAGGGCCTCGGTCCGGCTGAAGAACACGAGTTCCTGTCCCGGGGAGCGGGGCGAGCCGTTCTTTCTCAGGCAGGTGGTCGAGTCCACAGAAACAAGGAGATGCTTCTCTGACGCGTCTCCCGGCCGTCCGACACGCTGAGCCAGTGATTCTGTGACAAGCTGGAGGATAAATCCTGAGATAAATCTGGTTCAGGCCTCTGAGCCTGCGGAGGTCTCAGGGCTGGGCCTGTGAGGTTTGCACTCAGGACTTTGGGGTCAGGGGCGGTTTCGGTCAGCTGCGTGGCTGTGTGTCAGCTGCTTTGTCGATAACATTGTTTTGACAGCTGATCTCTTTTTTTTTTTGTTCCCTGCTCTCTGCTTTTGTAAGAAAGAGCCAAGCTTTGCCCGACTTGGGGAGGGCACCGTTCCGAGCGAGTCAGGGTGTCAGCTGTGTAACTGGCCACGGAGCAGCAGGAACAGAGCGTCGGGCAGGCCCTGGGAGGGGCCGTGCGCTGACCTCACTGAAACGGAGCAAAAGCTACAGAGGAGGTCGCGAGGCAGCTGGGGCCACACTCGTGGCCGGGAAATTCAGGGGGCCTCGAATCTTCCGCCGCGTACTCCCCCACCACCGTGCAGACGCAGGTCAGGCTGCAGCAGAAACTGCCCTGACTTCAGAGCAAGCTTCCCAGAGTGACAGCCTTGCTGGGAATCCCCAAGGCCGTGGACCTTTGGTGTCCGAATCCTGCTCTTCCAGGAGTGCGGTGCTGGCGGGCGATACCACGCCGGTTATTATGGACGCTGGGTGCTTATACTTTACTGAGTAAAGAGCCGCAGCCTTTAGGTTTTTAAGCACCTGCTGCATCCACATTCCCGGCTTCATAGGGACCCTCTGGGCGACCCCGTGATGACACCTGAGCTGCCAAGCCCTGCTTGGGTCTGCAGGCGCCCGTCAGCCTCGGGCACCTCCCAGCAGGAGGACAGATGGAGTAAGGCAGGCTTTGCCCCGGGTGCCCCAGGCCAGTGGGCTGGGGAGGCGGCCCTGCTCCAGGTGGTGGGATTATGGGGCGCCTGGTGCTGCAGGACACCAGGGATGCTGGCACGGGGAGGGACGGGGCACCCAGAGTGCCCTTGAGAGTTGCTTTATTGTGAAATTTTCAAACCTATGGCAACGTCGAAAGGACTGAACCAGGCAGAATACCACCCCCTGCCCCCCGCCGCCGATTCTCCAGTGAAGGCTTTGTAGTTTGTTCAGGATATGCCTGTCTGTGTGGGAGGGTGTGTGGAACCAGTCTGAGGCGGGAGCTGGACCGGGCCCTGCGGACTCACTATCTCCTTGTCCCCCCGACTGCTCCTGCTGACTCAGCCCTGCTTGGTCCTCCGTCTTGAGCAGCGCCTCCCCCACGGCCTCCACGGGGGCAGGGACAGAGTCCCCGGCCGGGGTGAGAGAGGGGCTGAGTGGCATGCGGGCAGCCCCCAGCAGGAGGCAGACTCGGGCGTCAGCCTCTGAAGGCTTCCTGGAGGAGGTGGCGTTTGAGGCCGGGCTAGCAGAGCGAGAGGGAGGAGGTCTCTCGGCAGCAGACAGCACGCGTGGGGGCGCCGAGACAGGAAGTGGGCGCATGGCCTGTTTGGGCCTGGGCGTGCTGCCAGTGGTCGTGCCGGGCCTGGGAGTGGGGACAGTGGGCCAGGCAAGGCCCGGGTGGGTACAGACAGCCCAGGGCGCTTCCTTAGAACCGACGTCAGCCTTGTGGGGTGGGGAACAAGGCTGCTCACCCTCGACTGAGCTGTGCTTTGCCTGAGCCTCGTTGTGAGATGCTCAGCTTTCCTTGGAGGAAGTGAGGTTCACAGAGGGACAGGCAGCGATGCTGTGCTCTGGGCACCTAGGCTCCGGAGCGCTTTGACGGCGGTCAAGCCCCGGTTGTAACGAAGCCTTTCCCGGTGCTCCAGCACTCTGACCCGTGTGGGCTACCATCACCCCATTTTGCAGATGTGAACACTGAGGCTCAGAGAGGCTGCCCGCACGCGCCAGGGGCAGAGGCAGAATTCGCATCCGGGCCTGTCTGCCTCTAGAACCCGGCACTGCCGTGCCAGACCTGTTCACTGCACGGTGTCCGTGTTCAGGGAGGTGTTTGGGCTGATTCCGGTTGTGCGTGGTCAGCGTGCCCAGGCTTTTGGCTCCAGGAGCCGGGACTGCCTCCAGCACCGCCGTCCATCCTGGCGCAGCCCTGCCTTTTCCCTCTGAGTGTCAGGTTTGGCCCCTGCCGCGCTCTGGTCTCCTTGGGGAAGGTACTTTGCCACCAGGAGCCCGAGGCCCGCCCTGGTGGGGTGGTGGCGGGCAGGCGGTGCCGCGTGCAGGGGAGGGACTCTGAGGCTGTCGGGCACCAGCTGGGCTGGTGGTCCGCCTTGACCTGGTGCGGTTCCCCAAGCACACGGTGAGGCTGTGCTGGCCTGCCGCTGAGGCTTCTCCAGCGTGCTGACCCTCGGGACGCGCTGGGCACGCGGTCCTTTGTGCCCCAGCCCGGCTCTGCCCCTGTCTTGTTGGCTGGAGGGGCCCGTTTGCTCTGCACGGGCAGCGTCAGGCCACACGGGCCCTGAGGCCCTGGGCGGCCCTCTGCCTCCCGGGCACCGGCCCGCTGCAGGCAGCAGACCTGGCTCTCGCGGTCGGTCGTGCCTGTCGGCTGTCCGGCGGGGCGGGGCTGGCACGAGGCGCCCTGTGAAACGCCAGCTCCTCCCAGACGGCCTCAGCCCCTCGCACCAGGGCCCCTTAGGGGGTGAGGGCGTGAGATCCAGGGACAGGCCTCAGGGCTCCCTGACAGCCTGAGGAGCACTGTGAGCGGGCGGGTGGCCCGTGAGGTCAGCCAGGGCGAGACCCCCCGCTCCTCCTGCTCCCCTGGAAGGGGAGGGCACTGTCTCGGGGCCCTGGCTCCGCTGCCCCTGGTGGGGACAGTGGTCACCGGGTCTCCCTTTGGGGCTGCCTGAGGGGACAGTGTGCCCGGCGTGGTCCAGGTGCCGTGAGGAGACTGGTGTGTCTGCAGCAGAGGGACCCAGAGGACAGCTGGGGAGGGGAGGGGGAGGCAGACTGCAGGCGGTGGGTGGGCAGGCCCGGCAGCCGCGGAGGCCCTGAGGGGCGCTGGGAGGAGACGCTGGGCGTCCCCGGAGGGGGCCTCTGGGGGAGGGCGCTGGACAGGGCGCCTGGCTCCCGGAGGGGGACCGGTGAGCAGGGGCCGCGGGAGATGCTGTAGCACTTGGGGGTCCTGCGGGCGAGCCGGGGCACGTGGGTTTTGGACAAAAGGAACAAGCCCCATCCTGTCTAACCCCCAACAGCTGCCTGTCCAGGCAGAAGGGAGACCTCATTGCTTAGCCAGAAAGATGAAGGTCCATCTAGTCAAAGCTCTGGTTTTTCCAGAAGTCATGTATGGACAAGAGAGTTGGACCATAAAGAAGGCTGAGCACCAAAGAACTGATGCTTGTGAGCTGCGGTGCGGAGAAGACTCCTGAGAGCCCCTCGGACTGCAAGGAGATCTACCCAGTCCATAAAAGGAAATCAACCCTGAATATTCATTGGAGGGACTGATGCTGAAGCTGAAACTCTGTTACTTTGGCCACTTGATGTGAAGAACTGACTTCTTGGAAAAGACGCTGATGCTGGGAAAGATTGAAGGCAGGAGGAGAAGGGGACGACAGAGGATGAGATGGTCGGATGGCATCACCGACTCAATGGACTTGAGTTTGAGTAAGCTCTGGGAGTTGGTGAAGGACAGGGAAGTCTGGCGTGCTGCGGACCATGGGGTCGCAAACAGTCCAACACGTCTTAGTGACTGAACAACAAGGAGCCCAGATGCTGGCCTTTGTTGCCTGCAGTGTCTTTGGACTGGTGAGACAGTGGGGCCGGCTGACCCCCTGGACGCTGCCTCCAGCACCCCTCACTCAACCCTGCGGAGAAGCAGCCCGAGCTGGGATGTCTGCCTCCCCTGGGGCGGCTGCCTGGGGGTGGATGTTCATCAGTGCATGAATGAATGAGTGAGTCAGTGAATGAATGAGTGTTCCAGTTATCTGTGGCCGAGTAACAGATTGCTCTAAAATCTAGGGGCTTAAGGCCAGCCCCCATCCTTAGAGCCGAGGCGCTGCAGGGCGGGGCTGGCTGGGTCTTCTGCTCCCTGTGTGGTCACTGGGAGTTACTCAGTGGTGTTCAACTAGTGGGCGCACTAGTCTGGAGCATCCAGAACACCTTCGGGGATCTGGGAACCAGTGGAGACACCAGAAAAGCTGGCCCTGTGGACCAGAATGTCCACACCTGGCCTCTCCAGCTTGGGGTCTGGAGACCTCAGAGCCAGTGTTCTGAGGCTTGGAGGGAGGCTGGGAACACCACGTTCTGAGGCTTCCTGTGGCTCAGCCTTGGGGATCCCACGAGGTCACTGCTGCCACCTGCTATTGGTCAAGCAGATCCCAAGGCCAGTTTCAAGCGGGAGGGGACTGGACACCCCTCGCTGGAAGGAAGAGCAGAGTTGCAGCCCTCTTTACCCCCTGAATCTGGGTGCCCGGGCCCCACGCTGTCACTTCCCCGCAGGCCGAGAGGGCCACTCTCTGTGTGGGCTCTGGCGCCGGCCCGGCCCCTGACAGGTCACACTGTCGGTGGTGCCAGGCGTCTGCAGGGCGTTGTGCAGCCATGGCCCAGCAGGAGCCGGGCCCCTGGGCTCAGAGTGCGTCCCAGGCCGGCCTGACCAGACCCCGCCCGCCACGCCGGGAACCTGCCCACTCCCGTCTGCACCCCCTCACTCTGAGCTATATTTTTAACTCCGCCATATGGCAGAGCCGCCAAAACATCCAGGGAGGGGGGTGGGGGGGGTGGTTCTGGAGGAAATGATCACGGCTGATGCGTTTGTGATGACTGCGGTAATTAGGAGCACACCCCAGCTCCACCGCTCTCCCAGGCTCGCGGGCACCGTGAGCAGCCTCGCTCCTGCTGGGGAGGGGGCCGCCGGCCTGCGGGGACAGGGCCCTCACGTGCTGGGGGCCGCTGTCGTGGGGGTGTGCGGAGCCCCTGCCTGCCTCTCAGGGAGCCCGAGGAGCACGGCCCTCCTCTCTCTCCGTTCCTCCCCCGTCCCGGGACATCTTGGCCCAGACAGCGTTTCCCTGCAGGCTCCCTCGCTCACAGACCTGCCCCCGGGGGTGGGGGGGGGGCGCCGGCACTGCCATCTGCTGCTCACCCCGACGCGTGCAGTTTTCACGTTCCCTGCCTTCGTTCACGCAGGTCCCTCTGCCTGGACGCGTTTCGTTCCTGCTCCTGAGACCCCTTGTGTCCCGTAGGGACCGGCTACCGTCTTGGAACTCCTCGTGGTTCTGATCCATGTTAGAATGGGTCTTGTCTTCTGCGTGTGCTGCAGCCCTGGGTCCCCTGGGGCGTCCCATCTGACCAGCTGTGACAGTGCCTTGCTGGGAGCCCTGCCTCTCCCCTCCATCGGGCAGGCCGCGCCAGATCCTGGCTCCCTTCAGATGCCCGCCCAGCAAATCAGTAATGTTTCAGATGAGATGTTTTAAATGAGGGCCTTCCCCGTGGCTCAGTGGTAAAGCCTCTCCTGCCAGTGTAGGAGATAGAGGTTTGATCCCTGGTTGGGGAAGATCCTCTGGAGAAGGAAATGGCAACACACTCCGGTATTCTTGCTGGGATAATACCATGGACAGAGGAGCCTGGTGGGCTACAGTCCACGGGGTCACAAAGAGTCAGACATGATTGAGCAACTAAACAAGAAAAGAGCATTTGCAATAAGTCCACAGTTGACCCGTGAACATGTCCAGGGGCTCCGAAATGGAGTGTGTGCACCCCAGGGGCGGTCAGTACCACCTTGGAGGTACGGGGGCTTCTGTTTCCACGGAGCCTTGAATTTCGTCCTCAGGGTCTTTTTGGGGCAATCTTTTGTGACACGTGTGACGTTCCTGCACATGTGCCCACACATGGTGAGTAAATACACGCAGATGCGGTTATTGTGTGGACGTGTGCCCACTCTCTCTTCGGGCAGGGAGGTCTCAGCCAAGCCTAGCGCCTGGCGTCTTCACCTGCAGCTGGACTTTCCCACTCGTCTCCTGGCGTCGGCGGCTCTCTTGGCACGCGGTCTCTGCTGGGCGGTGGGCTGAGTGCCTGCTGTGTGCTCCCTGACCCCTTCTTTATCTGTGTGGCCCCCGTTTCAGACGAGGAAACGGAGGCTTAGAGCGGTGGAGCATCTTCCCTGGGGCTGCGCAGCTAGGAAGTGGCAGGGCCAGAAGGGACCAAGCCCGTGTTCTGTTCTGCTCTGTGTCTGTGGTCCTGAGAGCCGCCTCTGGCTCTGCCCGGGGGCTGGGCAGTGGCGGCGATGGGAGGGTGGTCCTGGGGCAGCGGTCTGGTCAAGGCCCGCGAAGGCCCCTTCCTGCGGGGAGGGCTCAGGGAGCCCCTTCTCTCTCGTCCCCGGAGAGCTGAGAGCTCCGGGCCAGGAAGAGAGGGTGAGGGTGGATCTGCAGGATACTGCTGAGCGGGACCAGCATCCATGGGGCGCGGCCTTCTTACGAAAAAGCCTGCCGACTCTGGTCCGTGAGGGAGAGGGCAGCTGGGGAGGAGCTGATTCATGACCGTCCCCCCGGACTGTCATTCACCAGATGCCGACAGCCCCGTGCCCTGAGCTGCAGGAGACCGGGGCTGGGATGGAGGGGGGAGAGGCTGCCTTTGTTCTGTCCTCACCTCGGCCTGGCTCCTCTCCGTGGACTGTTTTGAGTCCGGAGGGGCTGTCTTTCCCTCTCCGCTGAACCCACATTCCAGGTTCCATCCAGCAAGTTTGAGAGCCTTGCCATGTGCAGATGTGTGCGGGGTGGGGGGTTAGGGGCGCAGGGAGGTGCCCCGTTGCCTCTGGGGGAGCAGGCGCCCCCTCTGCCCCATGCAGGGTGTGGGGGAGGTGTCAGGGGCAGGCAGAGCCAGCCCCAGGCGGGCACGTATCGCTCTGGCATAGCCCTCGGGGCTCTGCGTGTCCCTCTAGGAAGGCTTGGTGTTTGACGTCCCTCAAGGTGACAGCTTCAGCCAGGGCTCACTGGTTTTCTCCCTGAATAGCTCTCCTCTGCTTTCGTTTGATTGAAGCAGACTGTGCCCTCCCCAGCTCGCAAGCTCGTGGGGCCCTCGCTGTACACCCAGCTGGAGCGCCTGAGCCCCAGGTTTAATGAGAGGGACCCCAGGCGGGGTCTGGACCGCCTGGGGCCCACAGGCTCAGCCCAGCCTGGCCACAGTGCAGGCGGAGCTTGGCTCTGTGTCCGTGAAAGGCGGGCCTTGGTGCAGTCAGACCCACGCTGCGCTGGGGCACTCCTCACAGTGGAGACATCTCCAGGGCAGGGGCGTCTCAAGCTGCTCCATCCCATGAGGAGGTTGGGGGCCGGGGGCCTGCTCATGCCCCAGCTTGCCCAGTGGTGTTTGATTAAAAAACAAATTGCTGAGCTGGGAACCTGCAGGTCTGGGTTTGGGTCCTGGCTCTATCCTAGCAGGCTGGCAAGTTTCCTCACCTGGAAGAGTGAGCATGAGGAGAGAGAGAGGCCCTCTCGTAGGACAGAGCCGGTCAGCACAGCACGGGCGAGGGGGAGAGCTCCTTCCACAGGGGTTTTCAGTCCTTATTATTTGGCAGGTTGTGGAGAAGATGGTGAAAGGGGTCTTAGAGGTGGAAAGGGGGTGATCCCTTGGCCTGGAGGGGGAGGATGTGTGACCCAAATAGCTGCCTCCCAGTATCTGCTTTCTCTTTATTAAAACTTCTCATTTTTGGTGTGTTTTTGTGTTTTAATATGGCCACAATGCCAGGGAGAATAAAGAATACCTTTCGCAGCCTCCCAGATAGTTGGATATGGCTGTGTGACTGCTCTGGCCAGTAAGAGGTAAGCAGAAGTGTGCAGTTTCCAGGAAGTGTCTTTAAAAGGAAGAGGTGGGTCCTTTTCCTATTTCTCCTCCTTCCTATTGGCCGGAATGAGAAAGTGATGGCTGGAGCACCGGCAGCCACTTTGGATTAAGAGGATAGGGGCTGCCCTGTAAGGGTGGCAGGGCCAGTGGGCTGGAAGGGGCCGGGGCCCCACACCTGGGGAGAACAGCCGCACACGGCCTGGGTTACTCACCCCCAGACTCTTACATGAGCCGCGAGGCCTGGTCACTTCTTACAGTGTGAGATGCAGAGGCGGCGGGTCAGGCAGGCGCCCCTGGCCTGTGACCCTCAGGGGATGGTGTGTCTTGTGACAGACAGGGCGCCGCCTGGGCTGCCGGCAGGAGGGGCAGAGACAGGGACAGACAGAGGGACAGACGGGGAGGCAGACCGTCTCTTCTCTCCCCCGCGTGTTGAATTCACCAAAGACTCATCGTTTATTCATCCATATAACTAGCACTTGCCAGGCCTCGTAAGTGCCAGTCTCTAGAGCGTGGGGGATGCTGGAGCAGAGAGGCTAGGGTCAGGGGGATGCAGGGAGATGCAGGGGGTCAGCCCCCCCCCAGGGGGAAGCAGACCTGATGGGAGGTGGAGCGGGGAGGATGCTGGGAACAGAAGGGGTGCTGTGTACCGTCAGAAAATGCCTTTCACTAGTGTCGAAGGTGCTGTCTCTGCAGTTTGATGTTGAGACTAATGAGATTCGTTATAGGCATCGGGTGAAAGCAAGACTGGCCCTGGCCTGGGGTCACAGACAGGGTGTGTCTTTACAATTTGCCTCCAGCTCTGCCTACACCCCCCAGCACCCCAGGTGTCCCCACCCACGCGTGCCCCCTGCCTCTTGGCTCCTTGAGTCCCTCCACAGCAAACCAGGGGCCCGCGGATGATTCTGCCCTGGTTTGGAAACAGTTTGCGTTTGGAGAGAGGAACCCGTGACAGGCAGGCAGGTGGGGGCGGGGCACAGGGCCGAACAGGCCTGGAGGGCAGAGGAGGTTGTGGGGCGGCCGCTCCATGAAGGCGAGCTTGGAGGCCCCCCGACCGCCTGGGCCCGCATCGCCGGCTCAGCAGCTGGGCTGGGAGCTTTGGGCTATTTATATCCACCAGCAAATCTTCTGATCTCAAGGATCCTTTCCAAAGCCTGCGTCGTGCTGGCCTCTTGCACGCTGACCGGAGCTCAGGGACGCGGGCTGAATGCAGAGCAGGGCCGGCCTGGAGGGGCCGATGCAGAGCAGGGCAGGCCTGGAGGGGCCGAATGCAGAGCGGGGCCGCTGCAGAGCAGGGCCGGCCTGGAGGGCCTCCCCGTCCACCCGCACGCGGGCTCTGAGCGCTCGGCCCGAGCCGCTGTCTGCTGAGCCCCGGCCTGGGTCTCTGCGGCGGGCAGTTGTCTCTGCCCTTACGGCAAGGGGAGGCTGGCAGGAACAGGTATTACTTGTATACCTACTATGTACAAAGAGTACTTTTCTCCGCCACCCCCCCACCCCGAAAGGAGAGTGAAAGTCGCTCAGTCGTGTCCGACTCTTTGTGACCCCATGGACTATACAGCCCATGGGATTCTCCAGGCCAGAATACTAGAGTGGGTGGCCGTTCCCTTCTCCAGGGGATCTTCCCAACCCAGGGATTGAACCCAGGTCTCCCGCATTGGAGGAGGAATCTTTACCAGCTGAGCCACAAGGAAAGCCCAAGAATGCTGGAGTGGGAAGCCTATCCCTTCTCCAGTGGATCTTCCTGACCCAGGAATCAAACTGGGGTCTCCTGCATTGCAGGCAAATTCTTTACCAGCTGAGCCACAAGGAAAGCCCAAGAATGCTGGAGTGGGAAGCCTATCCCTTCTCCAGTGGATCTTCCTGACCCAGGAATCAAACTGGGGTCTCCTGCATTGCAGGCGGATTCTTTACCAGCTGAGCTACCAGGGAAGCCCTTTCCCCCTGAAGGAGGTTGTTTATCTTTAAAAAAAAAAAAATTCGTGGTAAATGTACATAACATAAAACCTACATTTTAGCCATTTTTAACTGTGCATTTCAGTGGCAGTAAGACATTCACGTTGTGTAACCACCCCCACCGTCACCTCCAGACCGTTGTTCCCAAACTGAAGCTCCATCCCCAGTGAACAGCTCCCCTTCCCAGCCCCTGTCCCTGGTCTCCCACCGCCTACTTTCTGCCTCTGGGAGCCCGACTCCTTTAGGGAGCTCGTGCAAGTAGAGTCACGCAGACTGTGTCCCGTGTGGCTGGCTCACTGCACCGAGTGTAGAGTCCTCCAGGTCCGTCCGTGCCGTGGCAGCGGTCAGAATGTCCTTTAAGGCTGAATAGCGTCCTGTTGTAGGCGTGGACCCCACAGATGGTCCGTCCATCCATCTGTCGGGGTCCTGGGGTTGCTTCCTCCCCTTGGCCGCCGTGATGACGCGGCTGTGGACGCGGGGTGCACGCATCTCTCTGAGCCCCTGCTTCCCCCCTGGCAGTGCTGGGTTGTGTGCTGACGTGAACTCTCAGACCCAGGAGCTCAGCCCCACAGCGCTGGCGGGGGAGGTGCTGGGGTCTCTAGCCCGGGGGGGGGGGGATGGCAGGGCAGCTCTGAGCCCCAGCGGCGTGTGGCCGGTCCCGCCCTGCCTTTACGGGGCCCCAAGACGCCAGCACCCACCAGCCCGTCCTGCACCTTGCTCTCCTTCTCAGCACAGCCTGTCGCAGGCGTGTGCGGGTCACCTGCTGGTTCCCCCCGTCAGCTCCATCTTGAAGCCCCCGGGGCCAACACACAGGGGGCCTTTGGGAAGTATTCCCGAGTGACCCACGGTGCGTGGCTGGGCGTTCTCTCCCTTCCCTGCTGGATCTGGGCAGCCCGACCCCACCCGCACCGTCGAGGGGCGCAGACCCACCCACCCCACCGCAGAAGGCGCCCCGTCCTGGAGTCCACAGCTGCCTGGCCTGGCCCTCAGGCTGACAGTGACGGACAGCTCTCCACCGCTCCGCTTATCCGCTCACCTCCCGGGGCTCTCCAGCCTGGACTCGGGGCTGCTGTGTGGGTTCGGAGCTTCTCGGGGGCAGTGACCCCGCTGGGGGTGCAGGCGTGCCCCTGGGGGCCCGGGACGCACACAGCCTCCGTCTCCTAACCCAGCCTCCACAGGCATGTTCATAAACACACCCGGGGCGTTGATCGCCGCCACCGCCGCCAAGCTCCGTCTCTTCACCTCTTCTCCGGCCCTGCGTCCCTCCTTCTCCGGCCCTGGGTCTTCCCTCGGCGTGCAGAACACACAGGGTCCCATGGGTCCATCCCTTTGCCACCAGCCACCGCCACGGCTGGTGGGGTGGGGGCCATGGCCGGCCTTCTCTGGAGAGGGGCCTTGCCAGATGGGGTCCTCACCTAGGGGCCCCCAGACCTCACTCCCCCCCGACTCTAGTGACCCACGGTGGGACCACAGAAGCTGGTGGTCCCGCCCCAGGGCAGGACGTCTCTGGTGCATCCACGCTCCAGATGCCAGGGGCTGGGCAGACACCCAGGCCCCACTCAGCCCAACAGCGAGGGCGAGTCCCCAGAAGGCGGAGCCGTGTCTGCACGCCTGGGCAGGCATCATTGCCCCCTCACGTTGTTTGTCCGCCCCTGCCGCCCCTTCCAGCTCTCCAGCTCTTTGGAGGGATGGCCTCCGGTGGGTGAGCGGGCGCGGAGAGCGGGATGGATGAGGAGCGTGGGGTCTGAGGGTGCCCGCCATGCTCAGCAGCCTGCCCCCTGGGACTGGGCCGGGCCACTCCCGAGGCTTCCACATCCACCACACGCTCTGAGCCTCCATGGGCCGTGTCTGTTTCCATGCCCACGTCACCCACCTGGAGGACTTCGCGATCAAGGTCATGGTTGGCCTCTGGGCCATCTCGGTCTCCGTGTCCTCGGCCCTGGCTCAGTGCCTGGCATAGGACGGGCGTGAGCTGGACGTCGGGCCAGGGGCCCTTGTGGGTCAGGTAGATGCCTGCCAGGAACACTGGTTCTCAGGCTGCCTGGGATGCCGGCGCTTGGGACAGTCCTGTTAACGATGTTCCCAGGAACCAGGGCTTTCTGCCTCCTTTGCCACTAGCACCGTGTTCTGACCGGAAACAGTCACTCGGCGCAAAGTCAGCAGGTCTTGCCTCTTACCGGATGGAAGTCAGCACGGGTGTCACGGGGACAGGAGCCCGTCTGTGATTAATAGCAGATTTTACTCACCACCCTGTGTGGATCTGAATTTCTGAATCACTGCACAGGCTCCCTCCAGGACTGCCCCCCGCCCCAAAATGCCATCCTGGGATCAGGCAGCTCCGTACTTTTCTGCCGGCTTCCAGGTAGCAGACAGTGTCAGGCCAGAGAACATGGTTAACACACATCATACGAATGAGGGCTCCTGGCTTGAGGACTAACGTTCCTGCCCTCCGCCCTCCCCTCCTCTCCCTTCCTCCCCTCTCCCCGCCCCTGCTGGGGTCCTCCAGGCCTAGGGGGCCCTACAGTCCACCGGGTCTGAGATCCAGCACCTGGTCTCGCCTCTGGCTGTCGGAACGCCTTGCCTTCTCCCTGCCAACGCGACTCTTCTCTAATTAGTCATATTTTGAAAGCAGATCTGCTTAATTGCAAGCAGTCCTAAATATTGGGGTATAAATAAAGTCATTAATAACTGTATATGCAAGGAGTCCTCCCACCAAGTGCCGCAACAGCTGGGCCCTCGGATGATCCCTTGGGCGGCCCCAGCGGGGGGGTGGTGTCCTGCCGGCCGCCTGCTGGTGCCGATCGATGATCAGAGGTGGCGGCAGGTAGGGGAGAGTGATGGGGGGAGGACTCCGAGTTCTGGAGGAGGTGGTTCCAAAGCGCGGAGTTTTGAACGGCGTCTCCTGACATCAAGTTAACATCCGCTCAACAGTTAAAGCTGAAACCCAGCGGCCATCCTCACCCGAACCGGGGGGACCACGGCGCTGCCGAGCCCCGAGTGTGGAACGCAGATGATGTCTGTCCAGCGCACGGGGCGGGGTTCACTGATCGCCTGCTGTGAGCCCCGCCATGGTCCGGCGGCAGCGTCTCGGGCCAGCGCCCGCGTGGCTGAGGGCAGTCAAGGGGAGGCGGAGAGCTCGGTGGGGGTGGGGGGTGGAGATGGCCAAGCGACCAGGTTTGGGGGCTCTTGTGAGCAAAAGCCCAAGACTTACACGTGGGCTGGAGATGCGGTTTGGAATCCGGGAAGACCCCCTAGGTTTCTGGCAGTGGGTAGTGGTGCCCGATTCTGTAATCGGGCTGCGGGGTGGGGTGCAGTTCCGGGGGTGGGTGGCTGGGCCATGCTTCAGCTCCCCTGTTGGCTATGCCTCATGCTGGCTGGAGCCCCCCTACCCTGTCATCGTCTCTGGATCCTGCGTTTTATTAAACTTAAAATAGTTTTTTAAAAGAATATTTTGGGTTTTTCAGGAACATTGAGCATTCAGTGTGAGACGTCTCATGCACCCCCTCTAGCTTCTTCCCCTGTGATTAACATCCGCACTAGTGGGCTGCAGTCATCACAGTTGGTGAGCCGGTGCTGCTACGTTATTAGTAAAAGTCCAGTTTACTGAGCGCTCACTCTCGATGGTGTGTGTTCCGGGGGTCTGGACACGTACGTGTGTGCAGACAGGGACGTCCTGGCACCGTGTCGTGCAGACTAGCTTCACTGCCCTTACATCCCCAGGCCTCCCCCTGTTCGCCCTGCACCCTCCCGCAGCCCCTGGCCGCCTCTGACCTCTCCACTCTCTCACAGGCTTGCCTTTTCCAGAATGTCACAGAGCGCGGTCACACAGTGCGCCGTGGCCTCTTCACGTTGGCTCCTCCCGCTTGTTGCCTGCGTGGCTTTTCATGGCTTGATAGCTCATTTCTGTTTAGTGCTGAGTAATATTCCGTGGTCTGGATGGACCACGCTGTATGTATCCATCCATCCACCGAAGGATGTGTTGGTTAGCATCCCCGTTTCACAGCGGAGAACGCTGGGCCCAGAGGGGTGATGGAACTCACCTGTGAACAGCAGCGGAGCCCCGGGGCCGGAGCAGGGAGGGAGCGGGGCCGCGGCCTTGGGGGGGCCTCCTGGGCTCCCGCAGCGCCTCTGCTCTTCTGACGCCTTCGCAGTGGGCGCCGTGCGCTTGGCTCCTCTCTGCTGCCCCGGCCGCCTGACGGGCCTCACCCCGCACCCCCTTGGGTTTTGTTCCCGGTGCATGCTCTGGCTCCCCCGCGTGGCCCAGTCCCCCCGGGGGCAGGGCTCTGCTGGGGGTGCCCGCATTTAACGGGCCCTCCAAGCTCAGCCTCCAGCAGCCCTTGCTGGAATTACCAGCCCCCGCAGCAAGCAGGCGCCAGGCTGTACAGACCCAGCGCAGAGATAGGCCGTGGCGACCCCCAGGCAGCCATCTCCCCAGACAGGAGGCTCTCGATGCTTCAAGAATAGAGTTGCTTAAGAGTATCATTACATTTATCGCCCAGCGTGCACTTGCATCTTGCATTTCAGAAATCGAACGCTGACTTTTCCTTATCTAATATTCGATGGATGTAATTTTCATGATAATGCAGTTGAATTTCGTTTTCTCTCAAGCCGCACTGAAATGCGTTTTACCGTCAAGTATCGCTGACGCGCCATCTGACCCTGCTGCGCGCGAGCTCTTCCCACCCCCTCCTGGTGGCACCGACCGCCTGTAGCCGCTCTGCAAGCTGAGTGGGCTGCAGCAGCATCTGAGGCTTTCCAGGGCTGAGGGGTCACTTCCGGGGAGGAGCCGGGGCCCCGGGGGTGCCATGCCCTTTCTCTGGGCGCCCCTGCAGTCTCCGTGAGGCCTGACATCTCTTCCACTCCCGACGTCGGGTTCTGCTCCCTTTGGCGAGTGCGTCGACCTTCTGTGACTCAGCGGCCACGTCTCTGTAACGGGGACAGTAGTGGCCTACCCCTTAGGGCCGCTTGGGGCTCACGTGGGTTGCTGTTTACGAAGCCCCTAACGTAGCATCTGGCCCGCAGTGAGTGCGGGGCTTTCTCTGTGCTGCTGCCTCTGGGCCTGTTAAACTGTGCACTGTCTGAGGCCGGAAACCCCCCATTCCGGGGACTTTGAGGTCTCAGGCCCAAGGGCCCAAGGGAAGGTCTCGTGGTGTTTTGTTTTTTTTTAAAACAGGTTTTTTTCTGATGTGTACCATTTGTCAAGTCTTTATTGAATTCGTTACAATATTTAATGAATATTTTTATATTTGTTTTTTATACATTTCTTTCTTTATATACCCTGGAGAAGGAAATGGCCACCCACTCTAGTACTCTTGCCTGGAAAATCCTATGGACGGGGGAGCCTGATAGGAGACAGTCCATGGGGTCACAAAGAGTCCGACGGGACTGAGAGACGTCGCTTTCTTTATATTTATGTTCTTATGTTTATAAATTAGTTTCTCTTTAAGTTTTGACTTTCTGGCCACAAGGCCTGTGGGATCCCCGACCAGGGATAGAACCCGCACCCCTCGCAGTGGAAGCATGGCGTCTTAACCTCTGGACCACCAGGGAGGTCCCACCACGGGATACTTTTGTCGAACCTGCCGCCTGGCCTCTCGTTCTGTGAGGTCCAGGACTTATTCCTCAGCCCCCCGAGCAGGAGAGGCCGCCTTGGTTCAGCCACTTGATTCAGGAATGGTTTGCAGTCCTTATCAGGACCTTTGCCTTCCTCTCCCAGGCTCCAGCTCATTCAATCCTCCAGATGCTGGTGCGTAAACCCTGCGGTTTCCTCCCTCTGGGTCCCGCCCATGACCGTCGGCTTCTCCAGGGTTTCCCCCTGCATCTTTCCGACTGAGAATCACAGCAGCTTTGGTTTCTGCAAGCCTGGGTTCTTTCAGTAAACTTCATTCATTCAAGAAATGTTTATTGAGCACCAGCTGAGTGTGCCAGGCATCATCCAGGCGCTGCACGGTTATGACAGGGCATGGAACCAGAAAATCCTTGTCCGAACAGGCTTACACCGCATTGGGGAGAAGCAGAGAAATTGAGATGAAGCTGGACGGTGTTTAGCGTGTTAGAGAGGGGCTGTGGAGGGGGACGCAGGAGCAGTAGAGAGAGCTGGGGTCGGGGTGGGATGTTGTTGGGATTTTAGACCAACAGGAAGTGAGGGGGTGAGCTGAGTGCTTCCTGGGGAAAGCAGGCCAGGCAGAGGGCAAGCCGGTGCAAAGGCCCTGAGGCAGGTGTATGGAGGAACCCCGAGGAGGCCCGTGGGGCTGCAGGCGGGGGGAATGGGGGGTCAGGACAGACGGGGGGTCAGGACAGACGGGGGTCAGGACAGACGGAGGGTCAGGACAGACGGGGGGTCAGGACAGACGGGGGTCAGGACAGACGGGGGGGTCAGGACAGACGGGGGTCAGGACAGACGAGGGTCAGGACAGACAGGGGGTCCATGGGGGCTGGTAGGACTCGGGCTTTTACCCCAGGGACGGGGGAGCCATGGGCGTTTCTGAGCAGAGGAAGGACATGGTCTCACTGTAGGACCACTCTGGATGCTGCAGGTGGTCAGGCCCGAGGGGGGTGAGGGCGGGGGCCACTGCGGTGGTCCATCGAGCTGTGATTGGGGCTGGTGTGGGCAGCGTCTCGCCTGGTTGGTGCAAACCCGGGGACCTGGTTTTCCTTTGTTGCTGTTTGCTGTGTCCCCTGTAAGTTTATCACGAGCTCTAGAAAGGCCGAGAAGGAGGTGTCCTCCCGTACCTTGTTCGTGCCCACGTGGAGCCAGGCTCTAAAGCAGCAGCCAGGGCGGCGGGTGGGCTGCTCATCCACAGCAAAACGGAGTCTCGGAACCCGGACAGAGGGAGGCGATGCTGCGGGAGGGCCTCCCCGGACAGAGGGAGACGCCCCGGGAATGTCAGCCATGCTCAGCGGCTGGAGCTGGAGCTCCCCAAGGGCGCGAAACGGTTCTGAGGATACAGGACACGGTGCACGGTGTGTTGCCATCGGGAGCGACCCCCTGAGGAGGGCGTGGTGAGGACCGTCTTCAAGGGTGCCGGCCCCAGCAGAGAGCGGGTGGCCCTTCCAAGGGGGTCTAGGAGCAAATTTTATGTGTATGTGTGTGTGTATATATATACATATTCTTTCCCATTATGTTTTATTACACAATATTGAACATAGTTCCCTCTGCTGTATAGTACAACCTTATTGTTTTTCCATTCTATATACAGAACCTGATACCTGCTGACCCCAACCTCCACTCCATCCTGCTGTGGGGGTGCTCTCCCCTGCTCCCCGAGCCCCCTGTCCTCATGGGGGAGAGAGATGTCTGATGACATCTCATGACCCCCCTCATGGGGTGCTCATGTCTTGGGGAGACCTCACCCTGTTACCCCTCACGAGCGTCTCGGATTCTCTCCAACATATGCATCACGGTTTCACGGGTTCCACTTGGATGGAACGTTTTGCTGACAAAAAGTTGAAACTATAAAAAGCCCGGGAGCCTCTACCATCCAAGATCCGGTCCAGCGGGCAGACTGCCCTGAGTCAGGGTGGCCCAGACCAACCGCCCGGCTGACAACCACCGCTCCATGGAGGATGGTGACCCCACCACCACCACCTCCTGGGCCAGACCGCAGAATCTGGGTGACCGCCCCCTCGAACCAGCCGGGCTCACCAGAGGAGGGGTCAGCCCCTCGGACCAGGACCCTGCTAGCCAGGTCGCAGGGTCTGTCTCGTACCCACTGGCTGGCCAGAGCCTCTGAGACCCTCAGCGTGTGAGAGGCAGCCGCGGGGTCAGGACTGCGCACAGACTTCCGGCGGGAGCACAGAGCCGTCTGGAGGTGGTGGTGACGGGCTCTCATCGGGGTGAACACGCGTGATGCCCCGAGCACGACACTTGCAGACAGCCATGGCGGTCAGCTCCACATCACCTGTGCTGTTGCTATTTACTCGCTCAGTCGTGTCCAACTCATGCGACCCCATGGACTGTATCGACCAGGCTCCTCTGTCCCGGGGATTCTCCAGGCAGGAATACGGGAGTGGGTTGCCATTTCCTCCTCCAGGGGGTCTTCCCGACCCAGGGATCGAACCCACGTCTCCTGCATCGCAGGCGGGTTCTTTTCCACTGCACCACCCGGGAAGTATGTTGTGAGTCTCTTACCACAATGAAGTCTGTGTGTGTGTAGAGAGAGAGAGAGTGTGTGTGTGTGCGCGCGTGTGAAACAAGCCTCACGGGGCAGGGACAGCCGGGTGTCACTGGGAGCCCAGCGGGGGGCCAAGCACCTGGACGACCCAGAAACACCCGTGGATGAAAAGCATGAAGCGGCGCTGGTTCCAGCCGGCCTTGGTCCCCGCCGGCCACCTGGGGCGGTTACTCACTTGGTGGAGCCTGGCCTGCGAAGTGTGGACGACGGCTGTCCACACTTGGATGGCTGTCCACACCTGGCTGTCCACACGTGGACGACGAAGTGCGGGACCAAACGGCTGGTCACGCAAAGCTGGCAGCTGGAGACACGGTGACCTTTCCGGTGCGGGTCCTGGCTGTGGGGCAGCACGTGACCATGTTGTGCGGAGGGGCAGGTGGGTGCACAGGACCCCCTCACCTGGCCAGAGACCCTGGGGCTCGCCCTGAGCACAGGCGGAGGGCCAGGCCGGCCGCTGGGCCGCCGGGTCCCCCTCCACACCCACTGTCCTGACCCAGCCTCCTAACTGACCCTGTGGCCAGGAAGTCTGGTCGCTGAGCTCCAGCAGAGGTGGGGGGGAGGGGAGGGGAGGGGAGTGGGGGGGAGGGGAGGGGGGTCGGTGTGCCTCCGGTAGGCCCTGGGCTCACCGGAAGCTCCGACCCAGCAGTGATGGGGATGGTGGGAGGGGGGACCCCTTCTGGGTCAGCGAGGCCTCGAAACTGTCCTGCATGTACACGGGGAGCTGGCCCGTGCCGGGGGGGGGGGGGGCGCGGGGCGCGGGAGAAAACACGGGGAGGAGCCCCCGCCAGGCCGGGGCACACGGAAGTGCTGAATCTGCTTCCTGACCCGCATCCGCATCTCGCTGGACCACGCCCATGTCACGTCCTCGGGTAGGGGACACGACCGCTGCGGCGTCCAGCGTGGCAGAGAGACGGCCAGCTGAGCCCGAGGGCTGCCGCGCCAGCCGATGACGGGACGAAGGGCCCCCTGACGTCCGGGGCCCGCAGGCGGCCTGTCCACGGCCAGCTCAGAGCCTCCGAGCGCTGGCATCGGCGTCTTCCTGGAGCGACCCCTCCCCCTGGGCGTGGTTCCCGGCTCCCGAGGGGGCGGAGGCTGCAGGACTCACCCGCCCTCGTCTCCCTGCCCCGCGACTCCCAGCGGATCCGCACCGGCGGAACCCGTGGTTGGGCAGGTGTGCTCGGCCCGGAGACGGCGGGGGTCGAGGCCCCTCTGCAGAAGTTCCAAGAACAGCTCCGACCGTCGGGCAGATCCACCCGCTGCTGGCCTCGTCTCCTCTGCCCAGAACGAGCCCCCGCCCCCGCCCCCGCCCCCAGCAGCTCACCCCGTGTAAGTGCCCGGGTTTGTAGCCCTCCGCTCCTGGGGAGCTGGCTGAGGGAGCGGGGAGCAGAGAGCAGCGGGGTTCCATTCCACCTCGCCCGTATCCCCCACTGTGAGACCCGCGGGGCCCCCGCGTCCCCACCGTGAGACCCGCGGCCCAGCGGCCAGAGGCCGGCCTGGCCCTCCGCCTGTGTTCGCTGGGCCTGGGGCTCCCGGTGACACCCGGCTGTCCCTGCCCCGTGAGGCTTGTTTCACACGCGCGCGCACACACACACACTCTCTCTCTCTCTCTACACACACACAGACTTCATTGTGGTAAGAGACTCATAACATACTTCCCGGGTGGTGCAGTAAGAACCCGCCTGCGATGCAGGAGACGTGCGTTCGATCCCTAGGTCGGGAAGACCCCCTGGAGGAGGAAATGGCAACCCACTCCCGTATTCCTGCCTGGAGAATCCCCGGGACAGAGGAGCCTGGCAGAATGCAGTCCGTGGGGTCGCATGAGTTGGACACGACTGAGCGAGTAAATAGCAACAACACAGGTGATGTGGAGCTGACCGCCATGGCTGTCTGCAAGTGTCGCGCTCGGGGCATCACGCGTGTTCACCCCGATGAGAGCCTGTCACCACCACCTCCAGACGGCTCTGTGCTCCCGCCGGAAGTCTGTGCGCAGTCCTCACCCCGCGGCTGCCTCTCACACGCTGAGGGTCTCAGAGGCTCTGGCCAGCCAGCGGGTACGAGACAGGCGACCTGGCTAGCAGGGTCCTGGTCCGAGGGGCTGACCCCTCCTCTGGTGAGCCCGGCTGGTTCGAGGGGGCGGTCACCCAGATTCTGCGGTCTGGCCCAGGAGGTGGTGGTGGTGGGGTCACCGTCCTCCACGGAGCAGTGGTTGTCAGCCGGGCGGTTGGTCCGGGCCACCCTGACTCAGGGCAGTCTGCCCGCTGGACCGGATCTCAGACGGCTGAGGCTCCCAGGCTTATTTTTATAGTTTTAACTTTTCTCAGTAAAACGTTCCATCCAAGTGGAACCCATGAAACCGTGATGCATATGTTGGAGAGAATCCGAGATGCTCGTGAGGGGTAGCAAGGTGAGGTCTCCCCAAGACAGCCCCCCATGAGGACAGGGGGGCTCGGGAGCAGGGGAGAGCACCCCCACAGCAGGAAGCATCTCGTGTGCTGGAGTGTGGGGGGCTGGTGGCGGGTGTGAAGCAGCCTCTGGCCGCCCTGGGGTCTCCAGACCATGCCCTCGGCCCTGAACAAGCAGAACAGCCCTCAGAACCTGCTGGGGGTGTTTTCTTGCTCCCACAAGAACAGCCCTCCTCAAAGCTCCGGGATCCTTGAGATTCAGCCAGCAGAGGAGGGGGGCGGCGTGGCCGCGTCCAGCAGAGGCTGGAAGCCCGGGTGCAGAGAGCCGGCCTCAGAGCCCTGCCCCTTCCGGTGGCACTCGGCCCCAGCCCAGGCCTTGCATGTGTATTTTTTTATTAACTTATTTATTTTAATTGGAGGCTAATTACTTTACAATATTGTAGTGGTTTTTGCCACACGTTGACATGGGTCAGCCACGGGTGCACATGTGTCCCCATCCTGATCCCCCTCCCACCCCTCAGGGTCATCCCAGTGCACCAGCGCTGAGCACCCCATCTCATGCATCTAACCTATAAAACTCCTAGAGGAAAACAGGCGAAACACTCTCTGACATAAATCACAGCAGGATCCTCTGTGACCCACCTCCCCGAGTAATGGAAATAAAAGCACAAATAAACGAATAGGACCTAATTCAACTTAAAAGCTGCGTCTTCAGCGGAGGCAGCGGGCCTGTTCTGGCAGCTCGCAGCTCTCCTGTGCCCGAGGGCCCAGTGAGAACAGGGTTCAAGACCCGCGCCCCTGGGGGCAGCCCCGCCCTGCACACACCCGCACCCCAAGTCGGCTACTGCCCCGTCCCTTCGCATGACAAGTGCTCCGCTGAGCCCGAGTGGCAGTGAGCTGTCAGTCATCTGCTCGGCCATTTGTCACCAGCACTAGGGGCTTGTTCCTCGGCTGCCCGGGCCGCCCGGGGCCCTGGCTCCACGTCTGCAGGTAGAACAGCCAGCGGGCTCGCAGCCTGAGGACAGCTGGCCTCAAGGTCGGCAGACAGAATCCAAAGAGAATGCCCCCAAGTCTTGCTGTCGTGTTTTCACCTCCAATGCCCCATCCGCCCACCCTGACCCCCACGACCAGCTCAGATGCCTGGGACACCCTGGAGAGAGGCCCAGCCCCGGAGGGCATCTCTACAGAGAGGCTCCTCCAGGCCCATCTCCGGGGCGGTTTGTTGTTGGTCTGGTGTGGGGTGCACAGACCCGCCCATAGCAGGGCTGTTTCCCAGGGAACCTGGGGTCTCCCGTCCTCTGAGCCCATGGAGGAGGGTGCCTGCAGGCCCTTGAGTGGCCAGCACCTTCCGGTGGGGCTGACCATATGACCTCACCCCGAGCTGGGAGGGTGTGGTCACCCTCTCTGACCCCAGCGTGGGGGGTAGAGCAGGGCCCCAGTGCCTCCCTGGAGAGCTGCGTGCAGGGGCAGGGTCTGTGGAGCCCCCCAGTGAGGGAGGGGCCGGGCAGCCCAGCTCTGCTCCTGGGGGCCCCCCTCTGAGCCCTCCTCCGGGTCTCTGATGCCACGGAGGCACCTGGTGAATATTCTGAAAATCAAACGCACGGACACGCAAGACTGGTGCGTTTCACTGGACCCCGGGGCCCTGCCCCAGGCCGGGGGGCTCAGAGCCCCTGCTTTCCACGCGGAGCCCCCTCCTCCCTCTGGCCCCAGAGATGGGGCAGCAGTGCCCGTCTCGGCGTGGTGGCCGGCACACTCCGCACATCTCAGGGTAAAGCCCATGACGAACGGCCACGGGAAGGGAGGGCGAGCTGTCAGCTTTCGTGGGAGAAGCCACGAGGCCCGGAATGATAGGATGCGTTTCTCATCGGCTGTAAACGCTGGAGAATCAAGGAGCAACGGTCTGTTCTGTGTTGCGTCCAGCACAGCCAGAGCTGCCTGGTGCCGGGCCCTGGACGCCTGGGTCTGGGCACCGGGTGCCACCGGGCAGCTTGGCTCTGAACTCGCCGTTGCTGCAGACCTAACCTGCCCGGGATGGTTTGTTTCTTCTTTTCTTTTTCCCAGCCAGACCAGCCCCCTGAAGGGATGATATGGAGGTGCTCCAGTAACCCCTCCTGTCCGGCCGTAAGGATGTATCAGCAAAGGGACAAGTTAATTTAGAGAAAGTTCCTACCCCTCTTCCAGGAACTAGGCTGGGCTCCTGGGGAGGGAAGGCCCAGTGGGTTTCCTCCTCCTGCTGGGGGGTGGGCAGGGGTGGGCCCGCGGTGCGTGAGACCCGGCGGTCCTGCCACCCCGTTTGGAGGTGGAGGACAGGGTCAGTGCTGGCGCAGGGCCGGGCACCCAGCCCCCGCCCAGGAGCCCCACAGCACCCGGGGCAGCAGAGACGCCTGCCCCGGGCAGGGACGCGTGAGAAGGCCCCGGAGCCGGGCAGGTGTGGGCAGGGCAGGGCTGCGGAGGTCCGCGGGCCGTGCGCGTGGTTCTGGGAGAGCGGTTGGGGTCTTTGGGGGGCCTGGGGAAGGCATGTGCAGGGGTGGGGCTGGCTGGCACGTGGAGGGACGGCACTGCACGTGCGTGGGTGGGCAGTCGGGGGCGCACAGGGCGTGGGGCACAGAGGGAAGGAGGGGCCTGCGGGGAGGTGGGCCGTGGGCGGGGCCTGTCCTCCGGGGGGGCGTGGCCCCGAGATGCCTTGGCTTGGGGGAGGTGGGCTGGTGTGCGTGTAGGAAGCCCGCACACGAGCACGTGCGCCTGCGCACACGCGTAAGCAATCCGTGGCCAAGTTTTACAGCATAAAATTAAACATAAGTCTTCAGGAGCTAGAGGAAGCTTGTGTTTTGCAAAAATTCCATTCAGATCCCAAGAGTCACATTGAGAGCATCCGTTTCCTGTTGTTCAACACCGCCCCCCCCCACCCCAGACAATCAAATAGCGCCTCCCCCCACCACCCCACGCCCGCCCCGCGCGGAACACGCGGCACGGTTACCTCGTCTGACCCCAGCACCTCGGCCGGGGTGCCTGCACTAGAATCACCCCTATTTACAGGGGAGCCACAGAGAGGTCGGGCGCCCGGCCCGGGGCCACACAGCTCCCCAGCGGCGGGCTGGGGTTTGAAGCGAGCGGAGCGTCCCAGAGCCCTCCCCTGGGGAGCCCAGCGTCTCCTATCTTCGTTTCCCAAGGAGACGACGGGGTGTGAAGAGCCGGAGCTGCAAGATGAGCAGGCAGGCTGCTGCAGGCCTGAGGAGTTTCCCGGGGAGCCGAGAGCCTTTCAGGGAAATAGGGAAGGCAGCTTGGGGGCCAGCCCGCCAGGTGCGACAGACCCCTCGCCCTGCGACACGCCCACCCGGCCGGCCTGGCTGGGGGGCCAGCGCTGGGAGGCTGGTGGGCGCGGGGCTGTGCCGCAGGGGGTGAGGGGCCCCCGGGCCGGCCCTCCAGGGACCTGAATCCTGGTCAGCCCCGAGGGGCCGTGCAGGGAGGGCGGGACCCGCAGGGCCTTGGTGAGGTGGAGCCGGTCCAGCAGGTGCTCCGCCCACACCCACCGGAGGGCCGGTGCCCGGGCAGCGAGGGAGCCGGGCTGGCACGCCCTCCCCGCTCCCAGGGCCTTGGGGGCGCGCTTTGTCTCGGTCTCCCCGCTGCCCCGCGTGGCCGTGATGGCAATCCCGTCTGGTGGGTCTGAGTGAGAGGTCAGGAGTATCAGCAGGTGACTCCAGGGGTCGCCAGGGGCCAGCAGGCCTGGGGCCCAACGCGCGGCCGTGGGGGCGGGGGGAGGGGCGGGCCTGTTCTCCAGGTGTGTTCCCTGGAACCCTTGCAGCCAGGTCACCCGGGGAGGTTCTGAGACGCAGGTTCCCAGGCCCCCACCCCAGACCTGCAGAGTCTGGGACTCTGAGGGACGCTGCCCTGGAATCTGCATTGTCCACGAACATCCCAGGTGATGCTTTTGTTTTTATTGAGATAAAACATAGATGGTATAGAAGTTACCACTGTGACCGTTTTTAGGCATAGAGGTCTGCAGCCTAAGCATACTCACCACCATCCATCTGCAGGACTTGTCGCCTTCCAAAACTCTTTCCCCGTTCGGCACCACCTGCCCGCCCCCAGCCCCTGGCGGCTGTGCTCTGTCTGCGGGTTAGACCGCTCTAGACACCTCACATAAGTGGGGTCGCCTACGGCCTTTGTCATTTGTGTCTGGTTTACTTCACTTGCCATGCCGTCCTCAGGGTGCATCCCCATTGTCCTGTGGGTCAGCCCCTGCTTCCTTGTCAAGGCTGTGTAATGTTCCATCACGTGGCTAGCCCACAGTTTGTTTGCCCCCGCTGCAGGAGTCAGGAGGAGCTGAAGTTTGGGGAGTGTGGGAGTTGAAGTCGATGAATGAGCGCGTCCCCGTTCACACTGTCCTCCTTGGGCTGACCTGTCAGCGGTGGGGAGGGCGGGGTATCTCCTTTAGCCTTTGTGTCTCATATCATCCAACCGTGTGATGTGTGCACCCGACCCAAGCTGATTTTGTGGAGAGGCTAGGCAAGGTGCATTTTTTGTCTTTTGAGTATAATTGCTTTCCAGTGTTGTGTTAGTTTTTGCTATACTACGCGATCAGCTGTGTGTGTACATATATCCCCTCCCTCTCAGACCTCCCTCCCAGAGCTCACTGTATGCCAGGTACTGTTATGTGTATTTCACGCATGTGAGCACAAATTTCAAGTCAATGCCGTAAGTACTATTTCTGTTCTCGACACATGAAGAAAGCAGGGCACAGAGAGGTGGAGTCACGTGCCTGAAGTCACACAGCCAGGATGTGGTGGATGCAGACAGAGTCATCTAGAGGCAGCGGCTGAGCCGGCCCGAGTGAGGCTCCAGAGAAGCTGACTTTCTGGTTGAGAGCTGAGCTGTGCGGAAGAGAAGTCAGGGGTGGATTTGGGAGCAGCATTCCAACAGGGAGGGAACAGTCCGTGCTGTGCAGAGGCCTGGGGGCAGGATCCAGCTTGGTGAGCTTGCGGGGAGGACGAACGTTTGAATACATGAGTTCCCCTTGGTGAGGTCCTCCCTGGCGGAGCCCCTGCTGAATGGTCCGTGTCTGTGATGTTGGTGCCATGATGGTGTCAGCACGTCAGAAAAGTCAGTCTGTGCTAACTGCTGTCGTCATGTATGTTGCGTACACGTCAAGGAGCGCACAGTCCTGATGCCACGTTGTGATGCTCAGATCTTGGCAAAGCGAAGTAATACTCTAGCCTCGGAAATCAGCAGCAGCTTGTCTAAGGGCTGTTTGGGGCAAGGCGGGTGGGGGGGTGATCTCAGAACCAACACCTCTGCACAATGCCGCGTTGGCTGTGTGACAGTGTGTGCGCCAGCGCTGCCGATGAGCAGCACAGTTACTCGCTTTATAATTTTTGCCTGTGCTCTCCATGTGGCAGGCACCAGGCTGAGCTCACAGAGTTGAGAGAAAAACAGACATTCTTAGGGAGTTGTCAGACCGAAAAGAACTTGTCCTTGGCACCACAGGGGGAAGCAGGCAACGGGCTGCATTTAGCCTGAGTGGCCTGGGAGAGCTTGCGGGGGAAGTCACATTTATGCTGAGGTCTAGAAGGACAGATACTGAGTGGAGGGAACAGTGTTCCAGGCAGAAGGAACAGCATGCACGAAGGCCCTGAGGCACACATATATTCACTTGTTTGGAGAACTCAGAGGACAGTGAGTTTGGAGCGTGGAGGGCTGGGGTGAGAGGACAAGCTGGGAAGGGAGGGACACACCGGGACAGACTGTGAGGCACCTTGCAGACCCTACAAAGGGGTTCTGTAATGTTTTAAAACCAGATCATTTAAAAAAAAAATACTAAGGCAAGCTTTGCACACCATAGTAAGATTTTGGCTTTTCAAAATTCCAAGGTCTATTGCAATATGAAATCAGTGAAAGTCATCACTGAATTCTTTTTTTTTGTTTTAATGTTTATTTTTACTTATGTACTTGGCTCTGAAGGTCTCACTTGCGGCAGGTGGGATCTAGCTCCTTGACCAGGGAGCAAACCCAGGTCCCCTGCATTGGGAGTGCGAAGTCTTAACCACTGGACCGCCAGGGACGTCCCTGTTGCTATAATTCATGCCTGCTTCTCACCAAGCATTTCACGTACGTGGTCCTACATTCTGATACCCGCACCCAGGTCAGCATTACTACCCACGTCCCATTGACACAGGGAGGCTTTGCAGGCATGTGACTTGACCAAGGTCACGCAGGTGGTCTCAGGGTTTGGGCTGGTGTGGCCCCCAGAGCCTGCAGAGAGAAGCGTCTGCAGAGGGGGAGGCTGGCTGGGGGCCCGGCCGTGGAGCAGCGCGGCTCGGTCCCTGCACAGGACGGCCGTCTGCATGGCCCGCCTGCTCTCTGCTCTGTCATCCCTGTCTGCTAAACGAGGATCTTTAGTGAACTTGAAGCTTCTGGCAAGTTCTCATGACAATGTGTTCCTGTGAGCCACACGAAGCAAAAGCAACCTCGAACTTCTTAGCAAGTGTCATCAAAACATCAGCTTCTTCCCAGACGATGGGCCCTGGGATGCTCGGTGGGGCTGTGAGCAGTGAAGACTGACTTTTCAGTTCATTTATTAGTGGGAGCCAGGCTGCCTGGGGCTGCTGGGTGCATAATCACAGCTCTTGCTGCCGAGTCCCCAGAGTGAGGTCAGCACCGACGGCAGGAGGATGTGGGGGCTCCTGCCGGAGGGGCGGCTGGTGGGGGGGCAGTGTAGGGAGCAGGAGGGTAAGGATGGGCCACTGACCCCAGCTGCCACCCCGGCCTCGGTGGGGGCCCTGCCCGACCCTGCACTGTTGGAGGATTACCTCGTCTTAACCATCTAGTGTGCTGAGCGCTCTCAGCGGCTCTGTCTCCCGCCACCTTATTCATCAGCTTGCCTGGGTGGCCCTCCCCTGGAATAGCCCAGAATCTGACCCGTCCCCACCCCTGCGTGGGCCATGCCTCCGCTGGCCTCCTAAGTGGTCTCCTGGCTTGGCCCCCAGCCACAGAGACCCGGGTTGGCCCTCATCCCATGGTGCCCGCCTCACCCAGGTCCCTGGGCACAGGCCCTGCCCCTACTGTCCCCGTCACGCCCACCCTCGTCCTCTGCCTGCCCTCCGCTGTGCTCCCGTCCCCCACGGCGGTGTGAGCTCCAAGCAGGCGGGAATCCCCCGTTTGGGTCTCTGACGTCGCCCCGAGCCTAGGACGAGCCCCCGTATGCAGTAGGCGCTCAGGAATTAGGTGCTGCAGGAATGAACGGCGATCTGAGTATGGTTTGGTCATTTTGCACGTGAGTAATTTGAGGCATTGAGAGATTCAGTAACTAACCCGGGGCCACATTGGGTCCTAGATGTCAAATAGTTTGGGATTGAAACCCAGGCACACTGGTTTCAGAATCCGCATTCTTAATTTGTAACTTACTGTGCCTGTCCAATTTTAAAAGTGATGAATTAACACATCACTTAGCCTTTCTAGATTCTTCGAGTATCCTGTGATTTAAATCATCAAACCTTGCTTCTTTTTGGTTCTCTGTCCTGCCTCCATTCATTTGCACGTGCTGTTCCCTCTGGTTAGGATGCCCGTTCATTTAGAGAACTTCTATTCATTCTTCAGAACCCAAGCTAAGTTGCTCCTCCCCTGGACAGAGTTCATTTCCGTCTCATCCTTCCTTTTATTGCCCTGAGGATATTCCTTCATCAGAGCCCCAAGAAGCCACATGCTTATGTGTCCCTCTGAATTCCCTTTCTGAGTCTGTCAGTGGCGGGGACTGTGTTTTATTTCCTTTGTCTTCCCAGCCTGTGTCTCACACGTGTTAGAAGCCTAATAAATATTTGTTAAATGTGTGACTGGAAGTGTTTCTGGCGCTTGCAGCCTGCTGAGTGAATATCTGCATATCGAATCCTGTTTGATGAACTCTCATTTTCATTCTGCCCGTATGTTCCAAGGAGAGAAAGATAGGTCCAAATCGTCACAACCTAATAAAATCCTATCTAGTGATAACTCTCCATGCCATTCATGTAGAAGGAAATGCTTCTGGTAAAACACTGTGCTGTCTTTGGCGTGTGAAACACACACATCGAATATTACTCAATGTAGAATTACATCAAATCCCCAGGATCAAAATATACTGTGTGAACCACAAAGTGAACTGGTCAGAAGCAGAGTCTATTTGTTGTTGTTGTTTAGTTGCTAAGTCGTGTCCTACTCTTTGCAACCCCATGGACTGCAGCACGCCAGGCCTTCTTGTCCCTCACACCCAGAGTTTGCTTAAACTCATGTCCATTCAGGCAGTGATGCCATCCAACCATCTCATCCTCTGTCGTCCCCTTCTTCTCCTGCCTTCCGTCTTTCCCAGCATTAGGGTCTTTTCCAAAGAGTCAGTTCTTCTCATCAGGTGGCCAAAGTATTGGAGTTTCAGCTTCAACATCCGTCCTTCCAGTGAATATTCAGGACTGATGTCCTTTAGGATGGCCTGGTTGGCTCTCCTTGCAGTCCAAGGGACTCTCAAGAGTCTTCTCCAACACCACAGTTCAGAAACATCAATTCCTTGGTGCTCAGCCTTCTTTGTGGTCCAGCTCTCACATCCATACACGACCACTGGGAAAACCACGGCTTTGACTAGACAGTCAGAGTCCACTTGGTTGTGTCCGTGGGCAGTGACAGTCTTGTGGCCTAAGTGAACTCCCGTCTGTGTGATGGTGTTGGCCAAGGTCCTAGGTGTGGACTGAGGGACGCAAAACTGTTTCTGTCGCATGAGAATTTGGCCTTTGGATAACTTCCTACTTGTTTTCCTGGGAACCAGACAAACGCAGTCTGTCTCCTGTGTCGCTAGACAGCATCGCTTGAGATAGAATGTCTCCTGGCTGGTCGTTGCATCTGCACAGGTTGGGGCCCCGGACACCTGTTGGGCCACCAGGCTTGAGCGTGGTGAGCCTGACGGCTCTTGAGCCGGCTCTGTCCCTCGGGAGACTGGACGCTTTGCCGGTGGAGCTGTCAGTGGAGATCCTGGGTCCCCGTGGGGCACGAAGGTTTCAAACCCCGGCAGCCCACACACCTGCCTGGTGTGCGTTTCATCTCTTTGCACCTGGGTGGTCCCGATATGGGGGTGTGGTGAAGACAGCCCCCGGGTGGCTGAGCAGAGGAGGACCCCCCGCCGTACACCGTGCCTCCATCCCAAGTCCTTTTCCGTGGACGGTGGCCTAAGACCGTCGTGTGGTTCTGAATGCGGAGTGAACCCTAAGCTGTACTCTGGTGGGCGTCGAAGAAGCGGCTCTCGTGTTTGCCGAACACGAGAGTGAAGAGTAAGGGAATGGTGCTGATGGCGACACTTGGGGGTCTCGATGGAAAAGTGGCTGGTCTGAGTGAGGTCAGGAGGCCGAAGCCCCCACGCTGGGTGCAGGGCCCCTTGCCCCGCGGCCCCTGGGAGGGCAGGCATCCTGGCCGCGCTGAGCCCCGGCCCTGGACCTGTTGAAGACCCTTCTGAGGGTCCCTTCCGCTGCTCCGCCCAGGTCTGCTGCCTGGATGTCGCAAGCATCTTCTGCCGGACCCGGAAGCCAGGGCACAGCCCGTCTGCTCCCTCCCTCTGGCTGAACCAGTTGTGCGGGGGACTCCCAGCCTGGGCGGGGAGTCAGAGATGCTAGGTCTTTTTTTTTTTTTTTAAGGTTGATTTCTCTTTATTTTTGGCTGTGCTGGGTCTTCATTGCTGTGTGCAGGCTTTCTCTCATTGTGTTGAGCGGGGGCTCCCCTTCCTTGTGGCGCGTGGGCTTCTCATTGTGGTGACATCTCTTGTTGCGGAGCACAGCTCCAGGCTCGAGGGCTGAGTTGCCTCGTGGCCCGTGAGATCTTCCTGCCCCAGGGATGGAACCCACGTCCCCTGCGTTGACAGGCGGGTTCCTAACCACTGATGGACCCGCAGGGAAGGCTCAGGGGTTCTAGTCCTAAGGGTCCCCGTCGCCCCCTCTTGTTCCACGTCACCCTGGATGCCACCACTTCCGATCTTCCCCCCAGTTACACCTCGCGACGGTCTCAGGAGGCTTCTTATTGTCTCCGTTTCTCAGATAGAGAACTAGAGGTTCAGAGAGGCTGCATAACTTGCTCAAGGTTGCCCAGTAGCTCTGTGGCTGGGTGAGGACTCAGCCCCACCACACAGCCTCGGAGCCCAGCTCTGAAACCACCCCGGGGTTGGCCTCCCCCTCCCTCCCAAAGCTAATTAACGTCCTGGGGTTCTGAATCAGCATCCCCTCGGTAGGTGGCTCCAGGCGGTGAATTTCTAGGGCACAAGATGTCCTTCTCCTTCTCTCCTTCTGCCGGAGTCTGTGAACTCAGAAAATGCCGAAATGGGCCAGGTGTGAAGTCTGGACTGGGGCCCAAAAATTAATAAGCTTCTCCTCTTCCCTCTAATGCCTTTGTTTTGACTTCCGCCACAGACGGCCGCAATCTCCCCGGTGTCCCCGGCGTACCTCTCATGGGCAGAAGCTTGGACTCTGGGATCTGGTGTGGCGGCCGGGGAAGGCGCGGGGCGGGCTGGGCGGGAGGCGGTTTCCCATCCCCTCTCTGCGGGCAGGGCTGGACCACCCGCCTCTCCTGTCCATTGTCCATCCCCAGCTTCCTCTCACCCAGCAGCTCAGCCAGCCCGAGGAGCACGGCTGTCCTTCACTATCTCCCTGAGTTCACTCAAACTCATGTCCGTTAAACTGGTGATGCCATCCAACCATCTCGTCCTCTGAGGCCGCCTTCTCCTCCTGCCCTCCACCTTTCCCAGCATCGGGGTCTTTTCCAATGAGTTGGCTCTTTGGATCTGGTGGCCAAAGTGTTGGAGCTTCAGCTTCAGTGTCAGTCCTTCCAATGAAGAAATAGGAGGCATTGGAACCGTCCAAGTTCTACACTGCCGGTGGGAATGCAAATGGTGTGGCCATCATGGAAAATAGCATGGCAGTGCCTCAAAAAATTAAGCACAGAATTACCATATGACCCAGCAATTCCACTTCTGGGCATGGACCCAGAGTAATTGAAAGCAGGCTCTCGAACAGATACCTGTATGCAGAAGGTGAAAGCAACCTGAGAGTCCAGTAACAGATGAACAGATGAAGTGTCATCTCTACGGGCAGTGGAATATTATGCAGCCTTAAAAACGAAGGCTGTTCTGACACTTGCTATGACATGGGTGAGCCTTGAGGACATCACGCCGAGTGAAATAAGCCAGACGCAAATAGACAAATAGTGGCCAGATTCATAGAGACAGAAAGTAGGTGGTGGTTGCCAGGGGCTGGGAGTTAGTGTTGAATGGGGAAGCTTCAGTTTGGGAAGATGAAAAGGTTCTGGAGATGGTGGTGGGGCTGTTTCACATGGCCTGGATGTGCTTAATGCCCCTCAACTGCCCTCTTAAAGATGGTGTATTTCATGTTAGGCATCTCTGGCTCAGACAGTAAAGAATCCGCCTGCAATGTGGGAGACCTGGCTTCGATCCCTGGGTTGGGAAGATCCCCTGGAGGCAGGCATGGCAACCCACCCCAGTATCCTGGCCTGGAGAATCCCGTGGACAGAGGAGCCTGGCGGGCTACAGTCCGTGGGGTCGCAGAGAGTCAAACATGACTCACACTTTCACTTTTCATCACATTAAATAGACAGTGCTCCTGGGGTTGCAGGGGTGTGAGCGAGGCTGGCTGCCCCTCCTCCCGGCTGCTGCTCTGCTCTGGGGGCTCCTGTCTCTGGTGGGGCGAGAGGGGTGGGAGTAGGTCTGGGCTTGTCTCTGGATCACATTAAGTTGCCCAGTTAGGCAGCTGCCGGGCCCTGAGGTCCTTTGTGGCTCTCATCACCGTGGGCGCCTGGCCCCCGCTTCCAGACCGTGAATCTCGGGCGAAACATCCCGTCCACGGCCGAGATTCACGGTGCGGGAGCCCCTCTGACTCAGTCCCTGAGCTGCAGCGGCCTCGGTCAGAGCGTCAGAGCCTCTGTTCCCAGAAGCCCCGGGAGCACGCCCTCTGCGAGCTTGGCAGGGTGGGGGGTCCCGGACCCAGTGCTGGGTGGGGAATGGGGCGCAGGGTGGCCGGTGGGCTGCGGGGGTAAACTCTGCTGCTTACGGGGGGCCTCCCCATGTGCCTCGTGGAGGCGCTGTGGTCCCCGCGGGAGCGGTCTGCCGCTCCTCTGCCCTTTCTGTGGCTCCTCCCGCCGCGTCTTGGGCCCAGCAACCTCTGGCTGAGCCGGAGGGGCCTGCAGAGAGCCCGTGGACAGGCAACCTGGGCCCTGCGTCCACCCCAGGAACCGTGGGCGGGCAGGTAGGCAGGCGTGACCCTCTGGGCGCTGCCCCGAAGTGGCCCCACCCTGGTCTCGGCCCATGGGGCCTGACACAGCCCTTGGGGGGCAGAAAAGCCACCCCACCCCAGCAGCTTCCTGGCCCCTGCCGGAGGCCTTCCTGTGGCCTCAGAGACAGACGCGGCGGGTGCTCCCGGCGCCCCGCTCCCCAGCCTCCCCACGGCCCCCGTACCGTCTCTCCCGCACGGGGTGAGCTGCTTCCGACGCTGGTTTGAGAAGCAAGCCTTCCCAAGCTGACAGCTATTAATAGTAACAGGAGCTTGGCAGCCAAACCCCATCCGTGCGGATAGGGATGAAGGGACGTGTGCGGGGCCAGTGGCCAGACAGCAGCGTGGCTGATTCAGCCATGGGCCCAGGACATGGGCATCCAGGGGGGCCGCGCCCTTCACAGCTGGGCAGAAGGTCCTATTAAGGTTGGACATATCTGGCTCTGCTTTTCGGGGAACTGCTCCAAGACAATTTAAAAAACCAAAGGAGTGAGTCAGTTCTTGTCTTCAGGATGTCCCTTGCTTTGCAGAAAGTAGACTTCACTATTAATTAGTCACTCGATTCAGTAATTATCAGGATGTCTGCCTCCCTGGGCGCCCAGATGTTGGTGAGGGGCCTCCTCTGGTCCTAGCCCGTGTGTCCAGCTTTGACATCTGGGGCTCTCAAAAGATGGGGCCCCGAAGCTGAGCGGCGCCGTCCCTGGGGACTGGCCACCCTGGCCCAGCCCCCAGCTGGCTGGGTTCTCTCTCTGCAGACACATTCACATCCTGAAGGCGCCTTCCTCGACTGCCTTGGGCGACGTCAGCTTGGCTGACGCACTTCTGGGAGCGGCCGCGGGGCCTGGCTGAGACGCGCGGTGACCTGCAGGCGAAGTCTCACCACCGTAGTGCTCCCTGGAGGGACCGTGCTGTCCGGGGGCCATGTGGCTGACCGTCTCCCGGGCCGGGCGGGCCTGAGAAGGGCCTGGGCCTTGGATGAGCATCGGTGCTGCCGCAGAGCGGAAAGCGCGAGGGTTCGGCAGGGGCTGCCTGTCTTGAATTATTTAACATCTTAATGAGTCCATTTCTCACGTCCTCCCTACGCTCCCCCAGGACCCCGCTGGGCAGGCGGCGGTGAGGCTTTAATGAATATTAATGAGCATTCTGCTCCGCGTGTCTGCCTCATACGCCTTCCCGGCAGGGTGGGGCCTCCCCGATGGCCACGGGGCCATCCCAGCTGGGCCGCCAGGGCCCCAGAGATGGTCCCAGTGTTGGAGGGGGGGCGTCCCTGGGGTGACGTCACAGTGGGCAGCTTTGGGGGCGCTCCTGCACCTGCAGAGAGCGGGTGCCGTGACCTCCTGCCTGGTGGCCCGAGTCTGCCGCCCTCAGCTTCCTCCGGCTAGTGAACTTGGAAGCAGGCCTTGGGGGGCCCGGCGTGAGCTGGGAGGGGGCCCGCAGTGGTTCTCGGTGCCTGGGGAGCCTTGGGGCGGTTCATGCCGGAGTTTGGGGGTGATGTGGTGTGGCGTGGTTTTCAAGGCCTCTCCTGCTGCCGAATGGATTATAGGAGAGTTCAGTAGGTTCCCCCATGGGTGGGAAGTGGCCGGCGCACCTTCTGTTTGGGTGGTGAGCGAGCAAGTGTGCTGCTGCTTCTAGAAACCTCGGCCCCTGCCCCACCCCGCATGAGACGGCCACTCCATTCCAACTCCTTCCTGCCCCTGGTTCCCGGAGGGAGACCCGCTCAGCGTGGCCTGCAGCCAGGCTGTCTGGCGCGCGTGGCGCTTAATTTGGGAGCTTCTTGCCCGAAAGGGCAGGCGATAGTGTTTTCTTTTACGTTTGAAGTGTGAATACTAGTAAATATGAAATTCTTTTTTTTCCAGAATAAATGTGTTTCAGTTTAAAACATGAGCCATGTAAGGGAAAATAAGTATGTAAATAACAGTGAGCAGGCGCAGGAATGGGGAAGCGGCTGGAGCGGGGCGAGCTGGGGCGGCTCGGACCCGGGTCCTGGCTGCCTGTCCCGCGTGGAGGTGACCCTGCGACCTGCATCGTGTTCACTCTGTCCGGCTGGAGAAAAGGAAAAAGCTCTAAGGACACAATGAAGAGCCTCTGGAGGTACCTGTGATTCGGGCTTCCCTCGGCCCCGACACGAGCCCACGCTGTCCGGGGAGCTGAATGGTCTGCTGTGTCCCTCGCTGTGGACTGTTCTAGGTCAGGGAACCCAGAGTCACAGGAGGGACGGTCAGGAACTTGGGTTAGGGGCAGGCGTGAAGGGAGCTAAGCGTGTGCAGTGTGCTGGGGGACCGCGCCCCGATTCCCTGAGACGCCCCCGTCCCCCGGACCCACTCTGCTCGCTCGCCTTCAGCCGGCTCTGTGCCCGGGTGGAGGCGGTGATGCCCTCCGTCCCCAGCTCCTGTCGGTTCGCCCGTGAGAGGCTGGTACCCAGGGTCAGTGGGAGGATGGCGAAAGGCTGGGGCGCCGGTGCTCAGGGCCCCTCCCTGCTGGGCCGGCGGGCCGGGCCCTGGTCCCTTCACCCGTGGCTCAGCAGCTCGCCGTCTTTGCCAGCCTCGGGAGCTTCCGCGTCTCCGGGGGGCTCCCCTCACCCTGCCCGCAGCAGCAGCCCCTTCCCGAAGCTCAGCAGGGTCTTCTGTTCCCTGCCGGGTAGGGAGCCCTCAATGTGTGTGACCTTGTGCTTCTCACGGAGGTCACGTGGGGGGAGTGGTGTGGGGGACCATCACTTTACCGCAGCCTCTTCAGTGGCTTCAGAATTTCCGTCATCATATCACGTGCATGATACTGTTCACGTATCGTAATCACATCCGGATGTGAGAGTTGGACCATAAAGAAGGCTGAATGCTGAAGAATTGATGCTTTTGAACTGCGGTGCTGGAGAAGACTCTTGAGAGTGCTTTGGACTGCAAGGAGATCAAACCAATCAATCCTAACGGAAATCAGTCCTGAATATTCATTGGAAGGACTGATGCTGACACTGAAGCTCCAGTACTTTGGCCGTCTGATGTGAAGAGCCAACTCATTGGAAAAGACCCTGGTGCTGGGAAAGACTGGGGGCAGGAGGAGAAGGAGACGACAGAGGATGAGATGGTTGGATGGATATGAGTTTGAGCAAACTCCGAGAAATGGTGAAGGACAGGGTAGCCTGGCGTGTTGCAGCCCATGGGGTCACAAAGAGGTGGACACGGCTGAACAACAACAGCAATAGGTGGCCTGGCCCCCAGGGTGTGGCCCCAGCCGTTCCAGGCACCGTCCCCTGGCCCCAGCGTCAGGAACATTGATGAGCTGTGAGGAACACAGGCTCTGGCCTTGAGAACTGAGACCAGCAGGGTGGTTTGGGGGACCCCTTATGCTGGAGCCTCGAGGGCACTTGTCTTGTGAGCTCTGCCAGCAGGCCCTGCCCTGGCGCCCCCGGGCTTGAAGTCACGAGATGTTCTTGAGGCCCTGGCAGAGGCGGCTCCCGCAGCTGTGACACTGGCCCTCAGGGCCCTCTGAGCCTCCAGAGTCGTGGCGTCGGTTAACATGACGTGACGACGGGGGGCGGTGAGCGCGTGGCCCGCCAGGACGAGACGCAGAGGCCGAAGCCGCCATCCCCGCACGCCGTCCCCACCTCCGCGAGTCGGTGCTGAGGGCGTTCTGTAATATCTCGGCGTTTCATCACGCGCGTCGCCTTGCCGCTTTGCCCCAGCCCCCGAGATACATGTATGAATGTCCTCATCTCACGTGCAGACTGCCCTGCCCGCCACTTAGGACTCGGAAGCTGTTCAGACTTGGACTCTTTGTAAAATAAAAGCCGTGTCGTCGCCACCCCTTGCTTTTCCGAGAGGGTGATCGTCGTGACGACCAGGATGCTGGCCGGTGGGATCCTTGCCCCCTGTGGGTCCTTGGAGCACAGGCCGCAGCGATTATCCTGACTGTGCGCTGATTCTTGTCTCTTGGGCTTCCCTGGTCGCTCAGACGGTAAAGAATCCGCCTGCGATGCAGGAGATGCGGGTTCTGTCCCTGGTCGGGAAGATCCCCTGGAGAAGGGAATGGCTGCCCACTCCAGTGTTTTTGCCTGGAGACTCCCATGGACAGAGGAGCCTGGCAGGGTCCATGGGGTCGCAAAGAGTTGGGCACGGCTAAGGGCCTAACACCTTTTTTGTCGCTAATTGAATCGGTGTGTCCTTGATTTCATGGGGCAGCCAGGACGTGGCAAGTTCATGACGGCGGCTGGTTTTTTCTGGGACCTCTCTTCCTCCTTCCCCCACTTCGTGTCTCCACGCCGTGAGCATCCCTCTAGGACTGTCTCCTGGTAGTGATGGCTGTGCCGCCTGCCCTGCGGGCACCAGGGGAGACAGTGGGGAGTCAGGAGTCCCCTGCGCCTGCATCCCGCCTCCCCCAGCCGAGGGGACGCCCAGCTGGCATGTGCAGCTCGGAGAATTCAGTAGGCGCTCACACCCCCATCCCGCGTCCTCAGGCACGTCCCAGGGGCCACCCTGAGCCGGACGGTCTCGCGGCACGGAAACATCCATTCACTTACTCCCTCCATCACCCAGTGTTTCCTCCAAGCCCAGGTCTCAGAGCACAGGATGGAATCTCCCCTTTAGTTTAGAGTCGTTAGAGGATGTAGGGGGCGTTGCAGCAACTGGGGGTCCGGAGGATCCAGGTGCACGGCTGGGACAGCACCCCGCGGAGCCCTGGCGTCTGCGCCCGGGGACACTGGTCCGCTGGACCCCGGCCTAGGCTGCCCCCCCCACTGCCGGCCGTGACTCAGTGGGCTTCCCTGCAGGGCAGGAAGTGAAGCCCCATGGTGGCGTTGCTGCACTTGCTCCCGATGCCCCGAGACGGGAGCAGGCGGGAGTCATGGGCCAGCAGTGGGAGGGGGACGCGGCGGCCGTCCAGCCCCGCCCCCATGAGGGTGACCGCTGTCCTGGGTCCTGTGTCTGACCCTTAACACACTTTGCTTTAGTACGCGATGCGTGCCAAAGAGCTTGTTTCGTTTTGCTGATTTTAAAGCGTTTTCTTAAGCTACGCCTGCACAGAGGGAAGGCCCATCTCCGTGGCACGCTCGCTGAGTGTTCTTTTAATTAATTAATTACTATTTGGGGCTGGAAGGAGTCTTCATGACTGGGCATGGGCGTTCTCTAGTTGTGGCGGTGGGATCTGTTCGCTGGTTGCAGTGTGGGGCGCCTCACTGTGGGGGCTTCTCTTGTTTCGCAGCTCGGGCTTTCGAGCGTGTGGTCTTCGGGAAGTTGGGGCACACGGGCTTGCTTGCTCTGCGGCACGTGGAGTCTTCTCAGACCGGGATCAAACCTGTGTGCCCTGCCCTAGCAGGGGCATTCCTATCCTCTGCTCCACCAGGGAAGGCCCGCGCTCACTGAGTCTTTATGTTCATTTTGCAATCTGAAGATGATTGCTTCTTGGCAGGAAAGCTATGACAAACCTAGACAGTGTGTTGAAAAGCAGAGGCATTACTTTGCCAACAAAGGTCCGTCTAGTCAAGGCCACGGTCTTCCCAGTGGTCACGTCTGGTTGTGAGAGCTGGCCCGTAAAGAAGACACAGTGTCAACGAATTGATGCCTTTGAACTGTGATGCTGGAGAAGACTCTTGAGAGTCCCTTGGACAGTCAGTCTTAGAGGAAATCAACCCTGAATACTCATGGGAAGGACTGATGCTGAAGCTGAGGCTCCAATCCTTTGGCCACCTGATGTGAAGAACTGACTCACTGGAAAAGACCCTGATTGCTGGGAAAGATTGAGGGCGGGAGGAGAAGGGGATGACAGAGGATGAAGTGGCTGGATGGCATCACTGGTGCAATGGACAGGAACTTGGGCAAACTTCAGGAGATGGTGAGGGACAGAGAGGCCTGGCATGCTTTAGTCCATGGGACCGCAAAGAGTCAGACATGACTGGGTGACTGAACAGAACAACACGCACGTGTCTCCCACAGACATGAAGGTAGTAGACACCCTCAGCGCCCCGGATTCCTCCCTGGCGGCCCCTTCCAGCCACGAGCCCACCCCCATCGCTGCCCTGCCCCGGAGTCGACGAGCCGTGGGTGTTTCGTGTTTGCACCAGTGGAGTCGCACCGTGCACGTGTCCTGAGCCTGGCTTCTCTCGTCCAACACTGTGTGCGAGGCATATGTTTTTGTGTGTGATTGGGCACACACTGCTTCACTTTCACTGCCGTTGGGTATTCTGTGACTTCAGGGCACATGTGTACACGTCTGTACTCAGGACTGGGGTTGCAAAGAGCACGCTTTCAGAGAATCAATTTTCAGAGAGCATTGTGCTTCCCCACCGAAGAAGAAGGAAAGATCCTGTCTCACGTTTGACTTTCGCCACTTGTTGGGTGGCACAGTGGGGCCTCCTGGTGATTTCTGTTTGCATTTTCCTGTCCATCAGAAGTCTCTCAGCTTCCAGAATTTGCTTCTGGTGAAATGTCTCTACAGGCCGTTTGCTGATTTTTTTTTTTTTTTTTTTTTTTGCTGATTTTTATTTAATTGTCTGTCTTTTTGTTACTGAGCCTTGGGAGGTTCTAAAAAATATACGCTATGGATGCGAGTTTGTTGTGAGATTAATGTATGTGACTGTCTCCGACTATGTGGTTTATATGTAGTGTTATGGTAACAGAATGTCTTAATTTCAGTAAAATTCAATGTGTGTCTTTATATAATCTTGATACATCCCCTGTATTGGTGACGCACCTTTTTTCATACCACCTGCGTTTTGTATGTTTTGAAGCACGCCTCAGGCTGTGTGCTTACATGGCATGTCTGTGGTGGAGATCCACTCCCCTGGCAAGACCCCCACAGACTACCAGGAGGAGATAGACGTGGAGTCCATCAGTGACATCCCTGGGTTAAGAGGGGGTGATGGGGAGAACCCTTAGGACATTGGGCATCTAGAGGAGGGCCCCCTGAATCACTGTGGGGAAACATGGATGGCTTCCTGGAGGAGGTGACGCGTTGGGCAAAGGGGAGGACAAGAGGGGTCCCTTAGTAGCGGGCAGAAAGGCCTGGAGAGCCTCCCCCATCTCCCAGGTCACCCCAGCCCTCTGGCAGGCAGCCCCCGACAACTCAGGGTCCCCGCCCTGGGCCCGAGTGTGACCTGGGATTTCTGGGGTGTCCTAACAAGGGCCAAGCTCTGTGCCTGCAGCTCACAGCCTCTGGGCTGGGAAGGGGGTGGGACTCCCAGGTACCCAGCCCTTACTCTGCGCCCAGAAGGGGACCCCGAGAGAGAAAGGGGGGAATCCATGCGCTCACATCAGAGCCAGTGGAGTGTCTGTGAGAGGAGACAGGCTGTGTAGACACTTTCCAGGGTAAAATGAAACGAGAAAGATGGGACGATGGAAAGACAGAGGGAGGGAAGGACAAGTTACCCAGCACAGAACCGTGGTTTCTGTAGAACAGTGTCCTCTTCAGGAAACGTAGGCTAAAATCTTTAGGTGTGAAGTATCGTGATCCTGGTTTTTTTTTTTAGCAAGAAAAGTATATAAATAAGTATTCAACTCCGTTTTCACGGTATCAGTTTGAATCATGAAATTGCTAGCTCAGAGGTCAAAATGGTCACATATAAGCATTTTCTGAGCTTTTTTAAATTGGTCTCTCTGTTTGAAAATTTTTGTAATATGATGATAGGAGAAAAAGGAGAATCCCACCTCAAAATTTAAAAAAAAAAACCGAACTCAAAGAACATAATGAAAATTTTGCATAATTGCTTCATGCTATAAAGCAGCTTAAGAACTCTCAGTTGGAGAGCTCAAAAATTAGAAGATGAAAAAAAAATAATCAGGATGAGATGAAAAGGGAGATTGAAGACCTAAGGAAAAGAATTGAAGATCAAAGCAGTGTATTCAAGGGGCAGATAAGTAAGTCAGGAGCAGTGAGGAACAGAAGAGGCAGCGCTGAAATGGGGGACGTGTCAAAAAGGAAGACGAGATAAGCGGAGTGCGTGCAGCTGCAGTGGGGAGTGAAGGAAGAGGAAGCATCAGAAGAGAGGCGGCGGCCCGGAGGAAGCTCCCGTGATGCTCAGAGCAGAGCTGGCGGTCCTCACGCTCAGACAGAAGAGGTGCTCTGTGAGGCTGCTTCTACCAGAGGAGTGCAGAGACGTCGCCGCAGGCCCAATGAGCCCACAGTGTCCTGGAAGCATTTCATCAAACGCTCAACGCCAAGATGCGTCCACATCAGACCAAAGGAAGATGCGCCCGGCATCCTTGCAGAGAGGGCGTGTCAGCTACAAGGACAGAAACACAAGGCTCACCTCACCTCTGCTCCTCGGTGCCAGAGCGGAGCGGCGAGGGGTCCGCACGGTCCTGAGCTGGGGGTAAAGGCTGTGGCCCCGGAGAACAACGTACGCACTCAGCCTCACTCTTGTTTGTGCATAAATGCAGCAGGCAGACTTTCTGAAAGACGGACGCACAAGAGAAGGGGGTTCAGTCTGCAGGTGATTCAGAACGAAGAAGCCAGAGAGGGATGCTGTTAAAAATTGAAAGACCAGTATTGATCATTTGATCCACCTATTTACAGAATGAATGGGGAATCCAGTTTGAGTAGAATGTCCACTAGATAACCTGGATGATGTAAAAATAATAGTGGAGCTCACCAAAGTCAGGGGAGGGGGGACGGGCTGGCCTGTGGACGTCCTCACCTTTCATCTGGGGTGTGCGGCGCCCCCAGCTCATCCTGCCACGTCGCCCTCCTGCCATTATTCTCCTCTGCAAGCCCAGCAGCTCC